GAAACAACTAGGTTTTTTCTTTTAAAATGTCCCAAGTAAAGAAACATTTATGATTATTATAATCTAATCGTTAAGATCAATTAGCAATTTTATTTTTACGGAACTTATCTAGGGATGAAATACTTTATAATCTAAGATTCAACTCACTATACAGTGTGTCCGTAAAGTATGGAACAAATTCATTTTTAGCTAAACAGACCATTTTAAGAAATAATCCTGAAACACGTCGATTTTTGATTTTAATTTACCGTATTTTAAAATAATAATCTAATATACAGGGTGAATTACTTTCGAGTAATGACGTCACCGTCATTTTTTTTAAATGAAACACCTTCATTTTGTCTCAATTTTCGGATTACTCTAGCTGAGCTGATTCCAAAAATGTATCACATGTTGATTCCAATTGGTACAGGGTGGACTTGTGGTCTAGCAGACAGAATATGAAAGAAATTATTTCTTATCAATTTTGAAAAAACATAGTCGTCTAGTTTTTTTGTGAAATGTCATTATTTGTTTTGTAATTTATTGATGTTCAGTGACAGTTTAGTACTACAATATTTTTGGTGTTCGTGAACGTTTTAATTATTGATGCTTAGATTTAATTTGAATTAGAAATGGAGTTAAGTGTAAAATAAAAAATTGAAATATTTATGATGATTGGGTATGGAGACAGATCGCGGACTCAGATGGAAGTGTGCAATTTGCTTAATGATAAATATCCAGAAAGACCTATAACGCGTTCAACAGTCAGTAAGATTGAAAAGAAATTTCGAGAAACTGGTACGGTTGAAAATGTACGCAAACCAGGTCGTCCCTCTGCAAATGCTGATACAGCATTAGATGTTTTACTTAGTTTTGAAGAAGACGCGCACACTTCTGTGCGTAAAGTTAGTCGCGATATCGGTGTTAGCAAAACAACGGTACACAAACTATTAAAGCTTGAAAAATGGCATCCTTATAAAATCAAACTTGTGCAGGAATTAAACGAAGACGATCCCGATAGAAGAATCCAATTTTGCGAAAAAATGATGGATAAATGTCACCGAGGCCCTCTCTTGATACAAAACATTATTTTTTCATTATGATGCCACTTTCACGTTAAATGGCGAGGTTAACCGTCAGAATTGTAGATACTGGGCAAAAGAAAACCCCCACTGGATGCTTGAGCATCATACACAATACACAATACCCGCAAAAGGTAAATGTATGGGCTGGAATTGTAAGAAATCAAATCATCGGACCCTACTTTATCAAAGGTAATTTAAACGGGGCAACGTACCTTGAGTTTTTAAGGGGGTATCTCGTACCTACTTTACGTAATTTGTTTCCCAGCAGACGTAATCCTGGAGGTTGTGATGAAAGTTTATGGTTTCAACAGGATGGTGCACTTCCACATTATGCTGTAGATGTTAGAAGGTACCTAGATGAAATTTTTCCTAACAGGTGGATTGGTAGACGTGGACCTATCGAATGGCCAGCGAGGTCACCAGATTTCAATCCTTTGGATTATTTTATGTGGTGCCATCTGAAGAATGTTGTGTATCAAACGAAACCAGCAAATATTCAAGAATTATAAGAGAGAATTCGGACAACAATAAACAATATTTCTCAAGACACAATAAACAAGCTTCAACAAGAATTTGTACACCGTTTGGGTTACTGTCAAATACAGCAAGGGCTGCAGTTCGAACATTTATAAAGTCATGTATTTCATCATATTCTGTCCGCTAGACAATAAGTATTTTTGATAATATTGTTTATTTAACTAATAAAGAATGTTACGCGTTACTTTATGAGCACACACAAAACTATTGTATTTTTGCCCACTCTGTACCAATTGGAATCAACATGTGATACATTTTTGGAATCAGCTCAGCTAGAGTAATCCGAAAATTGTGACAAAATGGGGGTGTTCCATTTAAAAAAAATTACGGTGACGTCATTACTCGAAAGTAATTCACTCTGTACATTAGATTATTATTTTAAAATACGGTAAATTAAAATCAAAAATCGATGTGTTTCAGGATTATTTCTTAAAATGGTCTGTTAAAAAATGAATTTGTTCCATACTTTACGGACACACTGTATAGTGTATTGTAGAGTCTAATTATTTAGTTATACTACCGTTAATGTATAACACTTAACCGCACTATACTCTATTTTAATCTAACATCACTGAACTAACTTAAAAGGCCTGGTTCTCTTGAGTCTTCTTTTTAGATTGGAATTGTTGAGGAGCTGGATAATCTCAAGGTTTCCATATTGGAGCAGTCGTTGGTGACTACTGGCAAATTTTTGTATTGTATTTTCAACAGTCTCCACTTTAAGGTCCCTATGAAGATCAGTATTACGGCAGTACCAGGATGCATCAACGATGTTCCTTAATACTTTATTCTGGAAACGTTGAATAACTTGGATGTTATTTTTACTGGCACTTCCCTAAAGCTGGCAAATTGCTTCATTTCCACCAATTCCTTTAAATGCACTAATCTGAAACAAAATATAGGTAATTAAAAAGGATTTATACAAATTATTTGATGAACAATAGTTTTATTAATATTGTTTTAAATTAACTATAATAAAACAATACTCATGTTTAAACAACACATGAAGATCCACCTAAGTAAGCATTATTTATGTAGTTCTTACCTTAATTTCTAAAGACATATTCTGCTTCCCATATAACAAGTTCACAACACATGAATATCAAAAATCAACAACTCAAATCTATATTTATTTAGAATATAGGCTTGTTTCTAGCTGGTGGCTGGACAGGGACATGAGGCATGATGAAATAAATAAATAAATAACTACATATCCTATCTTCTTCTTACAAATCAGAAATTCTTCATTAATTTTTGGAATTTTACAATATAACCCGTTTAGTAACCTTTTGTGTAACATGTATGCCATGTTTCAGAAACATTTTCAGTGAAATATTTAACTAAAATATTTCAAAAATATTTCAGAAACTTGTGCTTGAAATGTTATATGTTTGAAACGTTTGAAATATTTGGAAAACATTTCTGAAATAATGTGTGCTGTATGGGTTGGTACCCATCCAATCGAGGTCCAGTCAAGTATATAAATGGCACACTTTTAACCATTCAGAGGACATCCAATTCTGGATCATATTTAAACGCAACTCACCACACATTATTTTATATTATTTTTTTTTTATTTGGTTTTATCGGCATCGACTACTAAGGCCATTCGCCTCGTGTTATGTGTAGGCTTTGTAACTGTTTCCCAGCGCCACTTTAGGAACAGCACTGTTAATTAAAACCCAACAGTGAATGGTCGAGTGGGGAATCCTACCAAGGCATCAGAATTAATTTTAAATAAATAAATTAAATTAAAAAATCCCGGCCAACGGTGGGAATTAATCATATATTTATTATTTTTGAAACCCCTTCGAATACGGAATTCCGTGTTCGAACACGGAATTATAAAATTAAAAAATAAAATAAAAAAATGTGACCCTTCTACGCTGCCGTATATATCCCCTTATTTTTATTTAGATTTGTTTCAGAATCAAAAGGCTTCATTCATATTTTTTTGTTTTGGAGTTAGGATTTATTAATTATTTCAACCCCTCTTAACCACTTATTTTTATTCAGAATCAATTGGCTTCACCCCCTTATAAAGCTTGATTTTTCCTGTGATTTCAATTTGATACCATTTTTTTTGTTTCTGAGTAAGTAGGATTTTTTCAATGTTTCAACCCCCCTCAACCCCCATTTTAATTTAGCTGTTTTTCAGAATAATTAGGCTTCATCCTCTTATAGAGCTTGATTTTACTAACAATTTCATGTTGATATCGCTTTTCGTTTTGGATTTATGATTTTTTTTTAATTTCAACCCCCCATAATCCCTACATTTTAATCAGATTTTTCAAAATCAAAGTGCTTCTTCTTACAGAGCTCAATTTTTGCTAAAAATTTCAAGTTGATATCACTTTTTGTTTCTGATTAGGAATTTTTTTAATATTTCAACCCCCCTTAATCCCCATTTTTATTAATTTTTTTTTCAAAATCAATAGGGTTCGTCCCCTTATAGATCTTGTTTTTTCCTGAAATTTTCAAATTGATAAGTTTTCCGTTTTTACCTCATCGTGCGGACAAAAACGTGACGGACGGACGAACAGATGGACGAAGCGAATGCATAAACCCTTCACAGACATTGTGTGACAAGTATAATAATAAGCCTATTTACGCAATACTTGAACGCTCTCACGCCTAAAATTCTACTCTATTTTTTACATTAAATAGGTATATTAAAAATATTTAGAGTTAATTAAAAATTAAAGAAAATAATGTCTAACTCTCTCAGATTATAAAATTATTTTACTAATGAGTTTAAATTTAAATACTTAATTTTAAGTGGAAATCGAACTTCTCGCGAAAGCAAAAATGTTTTAAGGATTTTCTAATATAATATTGAATTTATATGCCTGCCAATTGCCACTGCGAATACCTACTTCGTGATATTGTGTCTTGAGAATATTGAGAGCTTTAAATTTGTGCAACGATAATAAGGCACCACTCTACAGAATCGTTTAAGAAAAAAAAAGGTGGGAAGCCATCGTATTTAAAAACTACTCGATAATAGCTATACTCTTTGATATTAAAACAAAAGGCAGCAAATTTTCATAGATTAAATACAGAATAATGGCGCGGATGTTTTTTTTTTAATTTCTTTTAAAATTTTTCAAAATAAGTACTTTTTCGAAGGTTTACAAAAAAAATCAAGGTGTTTTTGCCCTAAGTTCTGTTATCGTTGGTATTTCCTGAAAATTTTACAAAAATCGGAATAAAAATAAAGGAGCAGAATGAATTTTCAAAATAGGTATTTGGTTTGGGGTTTGCTCTTAATGCAATTTTTAAATTCTAGCGACATCTATTAATGAATAGTATATTGGCAAGAATCCACTAACACGTTTTCTACAGTTTCCTGCAAAAAAACAGTGGTGCCAAAATAAAAGTATTGCTCCTTCTTCTTTCTTCTTGACGATTGACACGTAAACGTCATCAAACGTCATAATTTCCTAACCTCAATGTTTTCCTGCACTTCTCCGGTAACCTCGTTAATCATGCTAATGTGATATCTAATGTTATTTTTGCGGATCACAGCTAAATGCTTATTTAGATTTTGATTTTGAATTTTTAAAGTTTCATAAATTAAGTTATAATTGTCAAAATGGTAAGTTTTAAACGAAACATATGTTATTCAGGGTATGATGAAATTTTTTACTTTTTCAGGCTAATATTGAAAGAAAGGGGACATTTAAGGTAGAATACCTTCAAAAAATCGAGAAGGATATTCAACAACGTTGGAAAGATCAAAAAATTTTCGAAGTAGATGCTCCAGCTGATCCAAAAAAATCCAATGATGAAAAATTCTTTTGCAACTTCCCTTATCCTTATATGAATGGGCGGCTACATCTAGGGCATACTTTTAGTTTGTCGAAATGTGAATTTGCTGTGCGATACCAAAGGCTCAAAGGCAAAAGGGTATACTTATTATTTTAATTATTTTAATAAATATCTGAAAATTCCTCATAATTTTAAGGTTCAATTCCCATTTGGATTTCATTGTACTGGTATGCCAATTAAAGCATGTGCAGATAAGTTAAAGAGGGAAATGGAACTCTATGGAAATCCTCCAAAGTTTCCCGAGATAGAAGAGGAAGTAAAAGTTGAGGAAAGAGATGGTATACCCAAAGACAAAAGTAAATCAAAGAAGGTAATACTATAGATATTTATCATTTTATCAAGAAAATTATTTGTATAGGACATTTATGGGCCATACAAAAAAAAAGAAAAACTGAAGAGGTGAAGAAAATGTTGGGAAAGAAAATTGGTTTATTGAATTAACTTTATTTTTTGTTATTTTAAATAAGTGATATTCTGTCAAACTAATTAGTATATTTTCTAGTTATTGAGATTAAAAAATATTAAGAATTAATGATTCTTGTGAAGGATCGATTAATTATAGTGTTCCACAAGATATTTGAGTATATTTACAAACATATAGTAAATTATAATAATAATAATATAATTATTGCAGAAATTATATCAATTGGAAATAAAATTGACACTAATGACATAAGAAATCAGGTCACATAAATAGGCTATTTTTTATTCAATTTTTAGTTTTTCTTATCTACTTTTATGCCATTTACATACCATGTTGTACCTGTAGCGAAAAAAAGACTTTATTTTAGTGTATTTTACATTTAAAGGTTGAAGACATTGTCAATATCAGCAGTCGATAATATCAAAACATAAGCATAGCATTGCGTTTTATTTTTTTTATTGTTAATAGTCTATTTGTGTTTCTCTCAGTTTCTTTAAACATTTTTTTCATTTGGTTTTATCTATTTATGTCAAACGCAAAAGGTTGTTGCTGTAAATACAAGTTCCATACAATATACAACACTAGTTAAGTTGTGTCCATCTATGGTTACTCCTGTGTTCTACTATCAACATAATTGACAGCTGACACTGACAAATTTTTTCAACCTTCAAATGTAAAATACCTACCCCAAAACTATTTTTTTACCTGGTGGGTACAACATGGTATGTAAATGGCATGAAAGTAGATAAGAAAAACTAAAAAGTATAGAAATAGCCTCTTTATGTGACCGGATTTCTTATGTCATTAGTGTCAATTTTATTTTGTTAAGTTGGTTGCACTTCCCTTTTATAGATGGTGTAGAGGTAGGGTACTAAGATTGCATGCAATGGGTCTGGGGTTCAAATCCAGGAATAATACTAATTAAAAAATCTTTTTTTTTGTTTTTTAAGTTTATTTTATTTAATTAATTAATAAAAGTCATCAATTATTTTTAAAAATCATTTTATCTTAATTCTCTAAATTCATTTTTCAAAATTTTGTAAATTTTAATTAGTGGGTCGTAGAAAAAATATACTGTAAAACTCGAGTGGATTGTCCCTATTGCATATGGCCACTATATAAACTCTTGTTGTACAAACTACTATTGTGGATCACTTTTTATAAACTCTTGATATAAATGTACCTATCTAAATTAAATAAACTCATACTAACACTGCATCTGCCAACTATTATTCTAAAGCCAAAGGGACGAATCAGAGTATGTTTTTTATCCCTATAGTTTTTTGTGCTTAAGATGAAAAACAGAGATTGTATCTGTTTCTTTGAAACATATGACACGTCCACCTGATCTTCAGCTTATTTTTCTTACACCCTATCTCAATTAATTGTAAAATTACTGTATTTTTGTTATTATGGATGCAGAAAAAATATAGACCTTTATAATTATTATATTATATTTTTTCTAAAAACAATTCTTTCCCTGTAAGTGTTTAGAGGATGAACTAAATAGATACAGTTTCCAGACATGTCTTACTCGAAACATTTTTTGATATGGGGGGTCTGCAAAAGATTTTTACAAAAACAATCCACATACTCCTTGGACCAAAAGAAGCCAATTTAAATAAATTTACCTCAGTACCAAGTTGTTCAGTTTGGTCGCTAGACATCTTTCTTATTTGTATTCATGTTTTAGTAAATAAATTTTTCTCTAAAACCTAGACTTCAAATTATTAAAATACAAATTTCGTGAAAACCATGAGATTAGTCGAGTCTTATCAAGAGTACCTTTTTTTATAGTCAATGCATTAAGCAATCCAAATTTCATACTAAACCCCCTTTTCTTCCATTGGCGTAGAAAGTAATAAAACATCAAGATCTATGCCTATGGATTAATATTAGTGAATAATTTTGATACATTTGGTTTGTCACATAAAACTTTTGTCAGCTTACTAAATTTAAGCAGAATCACATGAGCTGTTTTAAAATTATAAAGGAGAAACGATTTAAAAATTGTAACTTCGGGGCCTCCTAGCGACCAAACTGAGCAACTTTATACTAAGGTAAGTTTACTTAAATCGGCTTATTTTGGTCCAATACGTGTTATGTTTCTGTAAAGACCTTTTACTAAAATACTAAAAAAATGTTTTCATTATAGAGAATGAAATCACAAACAACTTTTATTTGAAGAATTTTTTTTTTCCAATCGTAAATAACATATGATTTAAAGTAAAAAACTATACTCTATAAAGTATCCCCCTAGATACTATGCCCAAAATTTATTCAGCTCGCCGCAGGATTTACTGAAGCGTATGTTTAAAATTTGGTGTATTTTCTCTTTATCCATTTTTAGTTATCGGCAAATTCAATATTTGCATTTTTCCTCATTAGTAATTTTGGCTCCATTGGTAATAATTGGGGAATTTTTGCATGAAAATGTAATTGACTTTTTTAAAGATAGTTTATTATTAAATATTTAATATTGTTTGAAATAAATTAGGTAGGTATTGACTAAATGACCTTATGGAGAAGTCGCTCCTGGTGAAATGTGAACTGACTGCACGCGTTTTTTAACGATTGTTAGTGATTGCTCAGCGCCTGAGGGATAATTTGGGGAGACTGGGAGGGAATTCGATGGTTTCTTAGCGATTGTCACTGATTTTAATGGGACTGTGGCGATTTTCAATGGGATTGCTGACATTTTGTAGTGGTTCGCCCCTCGGTTTGGGGTGGTTTATATGATAATAGAAATTAAATATCATGAAAACGAAAATACTAAAAATCATTTATGGCAATAAAATGTATAAAACAGAATTGCTGTTTACTATGATACTTGCAATATCAGAACTATTTACATGTCAACAATATGCACTTACATAAATACATGAAATTCTCTACAAAATTTTGTAAATCACCATCTTAATGGAAGAAAAAGTAAATAAATAAATTAGTATTCCAGCTAATTACAGTAACATCCTAAAAAATTTTATTAAGCATCAAAAATCTATAATATAATATAAGAAAAACATTTTAAAAGGAATGTAAGAAATACATCTTAAACAACTATAACTTGTTTAATGCACTATTTAAATAAGTGAAAGTATTTTATAATTAATTATTGAATTGCTATGTTTCTAATAATCGAATCATTGTAACAGTGATCTGATAGTTTTGTAGTAGTTTGTAATGAGATACGCACAGATACACTAGCATTTAGATGCCCCCAAGAAAATATTTTTGATCTAATATAGATATTAATAGCTTTGTAAAATAATGAAGTAACTATTTTTGATCTAATATAGATATTAATAGCTTTGTAAAATAATGAAGTAACTATTTTGAAATAAATAAATATATTGACTTCCGTAGAGTAAGGCTGTAGCTAAGGCTGGTACAGCAAAATTCCAATGGCAAATTATGCAGAGCATTGGTCTTTCTGATGAAGATATTCCGAAATTCGCTGATGCTTTATATTGGTGTGAATATTTTCCTCCTAGAGCTGTACAAGATCTTGACAGATTCGGGATACATGTAAGTTAATTTTTTTTACAAGTTTACTATTTTTGTGAGTACCTTAATTTGTGTCCATTTTAGACTGATTGGAGAAGAACATTTATTACAACTGATGCCAATCCCTTTTATGATTCATTTGTGAGATGGCAATTTATCAGACTAAAAGAGCGTAACAAAATTAAGTTCGGAAAGAGAAATACAATCTTTTCAGAAAGAGATGGACAACCTTGTATGGACCACGATCGTGCATCTGGTGAAGGTGTAGGGCCCCAAGAGTACACACTTGTTAAAATGAAGTTACTCACACCCTATCCCAAAAAACTTAGGTACCATTTATTCCACTTTGTTAAAGAACATTAATAATTAAAAGTAATTCGTTTTCTACATTGTCATTATTCCACATTTCAGTTCTTTCGGCAACAAGAGCATATTTCTGGTTGCTGCTACTTTGAGACCAGAAACAATGTATGGTCAGACTAATTGTTGGGTGAGACCTGATATGAAGTACATAGCATTTGAAACTAAAAATGGTGAAATATTTGTTTGTACTCATAGAGCTGCAAGAAATATGGCTTATCAAGAATTTACAAAAGCACAAGGAAAATTTGAGGTTCTTGTTGAACTAACAGGAGAGGTAAGTAAAATTTAGTAATGGGTGGCTTGGAAAAGTGCCCATACTAATCTAACAGACTAGTCTGAAAAGTTGACTGAATTTGTTTTCTAATTTCCGTTTCATATCTTACTAAAATAAAAAGGTGAAAAAAATATCAAAAAATCCAAAGTTTGGAAGATTTTACAAATGATTTACCTAAAAAACGAAAATACAAATGCAAATATTGTTCCCAAAGTGTTAAAAAAAAACATCCAGGATGGAGAAACATTTAACTGTGACTCCTATGCCCAAGGTCAACTTCTTTTTACTACTTTTCCGGACTTGTCCGTCGGACTAGTCTTTTTATAAGTATTTATTCAAATAGTTTCGATATTATAGGCAATAGAGATATTGGCCTATATGACGAAACTTCGTTCAGCTACTTCAGCTACTTTCCACAACCTACGGACATACCTTAGTTTGAATGAGGCATTAAACAGGTGTGTAAGTTTAATTATGGCTTTCTTCGGAAGTTGTTTTAAGATTTCTCCTGTAATTAAATCAATATTTTATGATTAATATTTGTTTTTATATCTTCTGCAATTTTCTTTAAAGGAGCCCAGTTCAGTAATTCTTCTTCATTTGGTTGTAAGTGCTCTGCGAATCTATTTACTTTTTGTATATTATTTCTAGCCCAGCTGTCATCTGTATTTCTGATTGGAGCATTCTGCACAGTGGGCCTTTTTAATCCCTTTGTGGCGTTCCATAGAGAATAATCAGTGGATTTATCGTTTGTCAACTCACTAAGGTACTCACAAATAGATTAATTTTTGATTCGTTTTATCTCTCTTTTTAACTGCTGGGTGGCGTTGTTAAGTTTGATTTTATCTGATGGAGCTCTGGTCTGATGCCATTTCCGCCTTAGTTTTCTTTTTGCCGAGATTAGGTCACTTATTTCTTTAGGATAGTTCTGTATCTGTAATGTGTGGAAGGTGGGTTACCCCTCGGCACTTAGACCTCATTATGCCCATTGTGCATCCTCCTGAGACGATAGGCACCTCCTAGCTCTTGAGCCAGCCTACAGATTTAATGTAGTTGACAACGTCGAAGAGGTGCTTCTTTTATATCGGCCGGTGTTAGCCGATACTCGCTGAACACAAATCTTCTAATAAATGAGAGCGTCGAGCAATTGTAAAGGATATGCTCGATGGTTTCATCTTCTTGTTCGCACCCTCTGCAGAGTGCGGATTCTGACAGCCCCATGATATGGATATGCTTTCGTACTTGGCAAAGACCAGTCAGAATGCCTGTGACTAGGCGCAGATTCTGTCTAGTCATAGTCAAGTATTTGTTTGCTGCAGTGTTGTCAGGATAACTTAAGAGCTTCCTGGCAACTCTGCAGTTTCTTGTTTCATCCCATCTTTCCTTGAATTTCACAAGGGAATGTTCTTTGATTAGGTCTGTCACTACCGATTTTGTCAGGCCAATAGAAGGGCCTGGTCCAAAAAGTATTTGGCTAGCTGCTTTTTTGGCTAGTGATACAGCAAGACGGTTACCTTTCGATGTGGCGTGACCTTTAATCCATCTTAAGGTGACCACGTTGTTGATGGATACTTCGGCCAAAGCTTCGTGACATTCTAGTACTAACCTTTAGGATAGTTATTTCCCGTTGTTCGCTGCAAATAGGTGGCATATTATCCCATACTTGTATGTTGGACACAAGTAGTTCTACTTCTTCATCTAGCCGTGCTTTTGTTCTTAACGTAACTGAAAGATTGATTTTATTTTCAAGGTCCAGTCTGAAGCTTTGCCGGTCTTTTCTCTTATTTATTAGTCTAGGAGAGCTTTGCTTTTGGATAATGGTGTCACTAAGAGTGAGAAGAATGGGCGAATGATCTGAATTTATGTCCCAGGCCTCATCAACTTGGATGTAGTTTGCTGACATATTTCGTACAACAAAAAAGTCTATTAGGTCGGGTATTTTGTTTCTATGGGCCAATAAGTTGGTTTGACAGTTGAATGCGAGTCACATTTTAACTGTGTAATTGCTTCTTTTAGGTTTTTACCCTTAGTTGCTGTTAGTCTGGAGCCCCAATGGGTGTGTTTTGCATTAAAGTCACCTCCATTGATAAATCTAGGTTCTTGACTATTGAGGAAAACTTGATTTATTTTATCTATTTTGTCTTTTAGGTGGAACCCTTTTGGTTGTTCTTGTCGATTTCCTTAAACTACTTTCTTCTCTTGTCACATTTTCTACTTCTCTAATTTCTGACCCATTAACCTCCTTTCGAAATTGCTTATCTAAAGTTGAATTGCTGGTACTGCTAGTGTTAGCTGGATTTTTACTTACTAACAGTTATGTTTTATTTGTATCGGCAGATACTGAAGTTAAAGAATTTAAAAAACGAACGTCCTTACTAATAGTAACTTTCAACGTTGTGTTGCCTTGTCTACTAGACTATATCCCTTTATATGCTCATCATAATCAACAAATATGAGTTCTTTACCTTTTGGATATTCCTATTTATGAAATAGTTTTCCCAAGTTTTTTTCATTTGTAATTATAAAAGTAAGGGACATGTGTAGTGTTACCGATCTGATTTTTGACATTACCCACGGGAAACCAAAACCGTTTTTACCCGTTATTCTTAAAGGAGTATGTCAAAATTTCACCCTCAACATTTCTGGCAGTTTTCAATAACGGGTTCAATTATTTAAAAAATAAAACGTAATTTACAGCTTTTATTTTTTGTTTTCTTTTTTGTTAAACAGAATTGTGAAATGTCACTATTCATTGCCTTTTTTCGATTTTTTAATTTTTGGTTTTTTTGGATTTTTGGATTTTTTTGATTTAAAAACCAATAAAGAGTAATTTTTTCATTTCGTAACTGGTGACAATCAACTTTTAGTAATCCGTTGCATAATGTTTTACTTTATGCAACTGGTTGCATAAAGTAGATCACTTTGGCACTTGCTACGATTACAAAATATGTTACTTTATATGTCAAAATTAGAAAAAAAATAATTATTAAATTATTTTCAAGGATTTAATTGGTTGTGCTCTAAATAGTGCTCTGACTACATACAAAAAAATCTATGTCCTCCCTATGCTTACCATTAAAGATGATAAGGGTACAGGTGTTGTCACCTGTGTACCATCGGACTCCCCTGACGATTACGCAGCTTTGACAGATTTAAAGAAAAAGCCTGCTTTGAGAGAGAAATACAATATTTCTGATGAAATGGTCTTACCTTTTGAACCTATACCTGTTGTTGATATACCTGGTTATGGTAATCTTGCTGCTGTCGTTATTTGTGAGCAGCTCAAAATTCAGAGTCAGAACGATAAGGACAAACTTCTAGAGGCTAAGGAAATACTGTACACTAAAGGTTTCTATGAAGGAGTAAGTAAATTTGTACAATTTAAAAGTATATTTATTGAAATTCATATAAATGAATTTTTATTGATTGTTTTACGTTGCTTTTCCAGATCATGGCCATTGGAGAATTTAAAGGCAAGAAAATTCAAGATATCAAAAAAAACATCCAAAAAAACTTGGTGGACAATAACCAAGCTGTAATTTACTATGAACCTGAAAAGAAGGTGATGTCCCGTTCAGGTGATGAATGTGTAGTAGCCCTTTGTGACCAATGGTTCTTAGATTATGGAAACCAAGAATGGAAAAACCAAGCTCTGAAAGCACTGGATAATATGAATGTTTACTATGATGAAGTCAAAAGAAATTTCATCCGTTGTATAAATTGGCTGCATGAGTATGCTTGTTCTAGAACATATGGGTTGGGTACAAAAGTACCATGGGACACCCAATGGTTGATCGAATCATTGTCTGATTCCACTATTTATATGGCTTATTATACCATTGCTCATTACCTTCAAGGAGGTACTTTTAAGTAAGTTTATTCCTAACATAAATTAATTCTATTCATTTGTCATTATTTGTTATATTTTAGAGGAACCAAACAAAATGCTCTCAATATCAAACCTGAACAAATGACTCCTGAAGTATGGGATTATATATTCTTTAAGAATGCCAAATATCCTACCAATTGCGGCATCAAAAAAGAATCTCTTGATAAAATGAAGCATGAATTTGAATATTGGATGCCTTTTGATTTGAGAGTATCAGGTAAAGAATTGAAATACCTCTTGTTAGCATTTTATGGCGTTGATTTATGACTTTATTTTTCAATTTTGGTTAATACTTTAGCCTAATTCACAAAGCACCTTTTACCTAGATGTAAATCCTACAAAATGGAAACCTCATTATAGTAAATGTCCAATATAGTTGGTCGATATTCCACAAATTATTTTAATCTTGGTAAACTGTCATTCTTTACATGTTTTTCTATCGATCTTATCTCCAAAAAAATATTAACGGAAAAAAAGGGGACGAGAGAAAAAAATGGGAGTGGGGGGAGAAGTATTTTTCTTTTTTCACAATCCTCTATTCGTCCAAGTAATATTGTCTAGGTTGGATCGAAATTAAAAATTGCTCATTTTTGCTATGGACTAATTTTATTAGTCAATCATAATTCATAATTGTGGATCAATGGATTTCGTATATCGAAGGGTGGGAAAAAAACTGTTTCCAAATAGCAATAGCTACTAAACAAAATTTAAAAAAGGAAAATCGGTTCGCAAACAGAAGAGAAAATGGTACTGAACCATTTTGTCTTTGCCTATAGATATATAGAATTTGAAGCATAGAAGAGGGAAACTACTTTATCGAAAGCGTTACGAAATTTTCGGCATAAGCCACAAATTGGTAGTGGGCAAGTGATGCCTCCCGGATGATCGGTTGATTCTAACAGCCCAGCCAGCCGCTTGACTCAGCCTGGCGTCGTTCATCAGAATTATTTTCTCATTACAGCAAACAACTTCGTTCAACGACTTGAATCAACGGTGTGCCTACGCAATGTTGAAAATTATTGTATTTTTTACTTTCAACGGTAAATACAGGCTGTGATGCATTTTCTTTAATTAATTGTAGTTTAATAGGCATAGAAAAAAGTGTAATAAGTGAAGTGATTAACATCACTTACATGATCTTCAAAATTAAAGGAGTTTGTTAAGTGAAGCCAGTACTTTTATTCTGTACACACCTAAAGAAAAACCAATGTTGGTTCATAAATTCACCAGTCGAAGGTATTTTTAAATATGTGAGAAAACAAGCCTCCAAACTCATTCAGGGTCCATAGCAATCCTGCAAATTACAGTTTTATTTAACTTTTATCAAGTGAAAAATACAAGTGAAGTATTATTTTCAACATATAATCATTTACTTGAAAATATAAACTAAACATCTTAATTTGTAGGTTTACTTTAATTTAGTGGAAACTAAAAAACTAATAGAACCCTTTTTTCATGTTCATTGCAATAACAATTTTTCTTTATGATCTTGACTAGGATTAAATCCTTGGACTTGAAACGAATTTTATTTTGATTATTAATACTGTAGCTAAATAATAGTTATTTATTATACAAGGGAAAAGTATTAGATTTTAGCTCGAGGTTGTGTTGTCTCCCGACGCTTAACGCGCGGTAACTGAGTTACACTGGTTCAGCCAATAGGATGTTATAACCTCGCGACGTGTTCTTAAAAAAATAATTCGTCCACTGTATTTGAGGACTGAAGTACTGTTTGAATCAAAACAAACCCTTAAAATTAGTACGAGGAAGTCACAAATTTCTATAGCCCAATATTCATATATTTGCGACGTTGCCGGATGAATTTTACTTGAAATTATAACGTAACCGTATATATAAGCTTACATATGTTGTGTATAGTCTCTTACAAAAATAACATTAGGCGATATTTTTATGTACGACTGTCGCGAGTGAACTATCTTAACTTGGATTTTAAAATAATATAAATCAGGATCTTAGGTTACATCAAAAACTGCTAACCAAGATCTGCGTATGATCCAAAATGGCGTCGCCTAACAAATTCCTTTCTGTGTAAAACCTTAACTCGTACAGATCAAAGGTACCGCTTGAGAGTCGCACTACAGATTGTTCTCTATACTGTAACTACACTTTTGACAGCTAAAAAATGAGCTGTCTATTTTTGCCGTACAATGTTCCAGTGTGGCCAGGGTCAAAAGGTGACACTCCCCTTTCAGAAAATACGGAATACCCTATTTTATCTGAAGTTATTAATAACGTGCAATAGTGGCTAATAAAGTGATGAAAATGTTTTAAAACATGGCTTTGCTAGTGCATTCTAATAAATGGGAAACGTTATAATATTTGATGAATAAACCAGCGCATGTTTTCTCGCCCTTGATCAATTTAAGCCAAGTTTTATTTTGTTTTTAAATAGGAGTTGGTTATCTTATGAATTTTAATAATCACTGTGACGATTCAAAGTGTGATTGATTAGTCACGCTGTCGTCCAACTCTACTTTTTCTCTGAACTAACGTTTCTATCTTCAACGATTTACATGTAAGTAACTATTTAAAAATCCTTTGTGAATATGGACGTATAAGTATTTTTAATAAAATTAAATTGAAATTAAAACATATTTTTGATGAAAAATAGGTAAAGATCTTGTTCAAAACCACTTAACATTCTGCATCTTCAATCACTGCGCCATCTGGGATAAAGACGAATCAAAATGGCCGAGAAGCATTTGGGCCAATGGTCTGCTGATGTTGAACTCCGCCAAAATGTCGAAGTCTGATGGTAATTTCCTTACTTTGTCAGACGCCATCAGTAAATTTAGCGCTGACGGGATGAGATTGTGTCTTGCCGACTCTGGAGACACCATCGAAGATGCTAATTTTGTTGAAAGTAATGCCGATGCCGGTATTTTGAGGCTCTACACTTTCATTGAATGGGTAAAAGAAGTTCTTGCTAATAAAAATACTTACAGGTAAACAAAAATATGCCTCAAAGATATGTTTTGGGTCCGCTTTTATTTCCGACCAACATGAAAGATATTTTTAGGACGGGACCCTTTAATTCGTTCAGTGACTTGGTTTTCCAAAACGAAATTAATCTGAAAATAAAGGAAAGTGACGAATTCTACAGTAAGATGTTGTTCAAGGAAGCTTTAAGAACGGGTGTATTCGAATTTCAAGCGGCGAGAGATACATACAGAGAGATCAGTTTAGATGGAATGCATATTGATTTGGTTATGAGATTTATTGAAGTTCAGACTAAGATTATGGCGCCAATTTGCCCTCATGTAGCTGAGCATGTTTGGGAACTTATAGGAAATGTAAGGAAATATATTTTAAATGTTTTTTTTTATTATTTAAAAGACGTTTTTAGAAAACTACTGTTATTAACGGTCCATGGCCAGTGGCAGGTCCCATTGACGAAATCAAAATTAAAGCTTCAGAGTACTTAATGGAAACCGCTCACTCGTTTAGGGTGCATCTAAAAGCCTATTTACAAGGAATTAAAACTAAAAATAACCCAAATCCCCCGCCGGTTGAAAAACCAAATATTGTAGAGATTTGGGTTGCTAAAACGTTCCCTCTATGGCAAAGTACTGTGCTAACCACTTTAAAGAAACACTATGTGGTAAGTATATGATTATATGCCGTTCAGTTTTTTTTTTAAATCCAGGGTGGCTGTGGAAATGTGAAACAATATTTTTTCGAGGTTATATGTGCTGTGACATGTCATTTTTATGTATTGAAGCAGCATTGTCTAGTTTTCTTGAGAAAAAATCTCGGAAATAGATAAAGTTCTAATCAGTGGAAATCTACTGTTTTATATTTATACCCACTGATTTGTAATAATAACTTTGTTATACATCATATATTATTTCATATCTTTTCTTACAAGCTTGATGATGGTCATTGATCGAAACTAGTCGCGCTTTGCACATTGTTCATTAAAAAAAAATTGTGAAAGGTAACAAAATTAACATTTATATTAGTTTTAATATTTTTATTAAAGTAAAACAGATATAAATATTTTTTGTAAGTAGGTAATATCTTTGATAACATTATAAAAAATTTGAAAAAGGATAATTTCCTGACCGTAGTAGAATTTTGTATAAATAAAAAGTTCCTTGGTTTAATAGTTTTTATTTTTTAACCCACTTCAAAAAAGGAGTAGGTTCTCAAATAGTCGTAATATATTTTTTTTATGTATGTTCAGCGATAATTCTTTAATACGGTGTCCGATTTCAATGATTCTTTTTTTGTTACAAAGGGGGTACTTCAGGGGTGGTCCCATATTAATTTGGTAAAAATCTAATAATTGGGTCCACTAGAAAATCCTCAAACTCTTTATTTTTAATGTATGTTTAGCGGTAATTCTTTACCACCTTGTCCAATTTCTATGATTCTTTTTTTGTTAGTAAGGAGGTACCTCAGAGGTAGTCCCATATAAATTTGGTTAAAATCTAGTAATTGGGTCCATGAGAAAAATCCTCAAACTCCTCATTTTTTTTGTATGTTTAGCAATAATTTTTTACCACCTTGTCCGATTTCTATCATTAATTTTTTTAGTAAAAGGGTACCTCAGGCGTGATCCCATATAAATTTGGTTAAGATTTGGTGACGGCATCTGCACGATTTTGAAGTCGGTTTTTAAAATTACTTTTAATACTTGTTATAATTTAAGCACTACATATGTGAAGGTCACGCGCTGTGAAACAGAAAGATGGGGTGTCTATTATTTATGTATCTATGTACTATGTATTCGTCCCCCATATTTTTATAAATATTTTGATTGCACCAGGAGAAGGAAATATGTTGTTCCGAAACATATGTAGTGATTTAATTATAAAAAACTATTGACCGAATAAGCCATGGAACTTTTTATTTATTATAAAAAATTTGCAAATTAGATTTCTTTCTAATCTTATAAGTTTTAAGTACATGATCAATGCAGAAGTTCTAAAAAATTCAGTTTTGACCTTGCTCTGTGTGCAAGTCCTCACTTTCATAGCCTCCTTAGATTTATATGTTGGAATTACATAATTAAATTGCTTAATTGGTGTGTTTTAAGGCAAATAAAGGCAGTCTTCCGGAAAATAAAATCCTTTCTGCTGAATTTGGAAAAATGGAGGATCTTAAAAAATATATGAAAAGAGTTATGCCTTTTGTGCAAGCCACTAGAGAAAAGATGGAAAAAGTTGGTGTCAAAGCTCTTGCTCTAGCTCTCGAATTTGATGAGGCCGAAGTACTGACAATAAATAGCTCCTATTTGGCCAACACCCTAGATGTAAGTCTTGTAGTTTTGATAAAATTACAAAATAAAAATTGTGTTTTTTTTAGGTTGAAGAGATTACTATTAAATTCACTGATGACCCTACAGCCTCAGAAAAAATGAAGGAATGTTCACCAGGAGCTCCATTTGTATTGTTTTCAACCAAGCCAGGTATAAAATTGGAATTTATTAATCCAGAAACCCAAAATGGATTGTTTTCAAAAATTCTTACAATTAGTGATGGAGATACTTACTCTAAAGTTGTGCAGAGGCTGGCTAAAGATACTAAAGCAATAAAAAGTAAGTATAAGTTGTTTCAAAATATTAATCTAAGCGAGATTTGCCGTTTGGATTTCATAATAGTTTTTTTTACACCCATATGGATATTAGTTTGTCTACGCACAGATTAGAAAACGAAAAAGTATGCTATTGCCTTCATCTGAACGAATATATTCATATCCATTCTAGGTAGTAAGAACACTGCAAAAAAATGAAATCCACCAATCACCGTCCATATTTTGACCAATCGACTGCTATTATTTTTAAAATTTAAAATAAGTGACAATTCTGTCAAACTAATTGTCAGTATATTTTTTAGTTATTAGGCATTCCAAACTGAATGGCTACCAGTGGGTTTTGATAGGTTATTATGATATGACAAAATTATGGCAACCCTGTAGGCCTGGTGATTTGACGAGGTCAATGAAATAGATAGTTACATAGATTGATCATCCATATTTTTCAAAATAAACATAAGCTTATGCCTTGAAGTAAAAAATGTAAGCAATTATTTTTTTTTAAATATCTTAAGGCTGAAAATTGGTTTTAAAACACAATATGGCCGCTCGCAAATGACCAGTTTTGAGCAATCTATATAACTATATATGTATCATTGACCCTGTTAATGACAACATGACAACAGGGTTGCCATATCTAAACTGTCAGTCCCCACTGGTAGCCATTTGGACAGGTCGTTGGAATGCCTAATTGAGATTAAACATATATTAAAATGGGTTATTCTTGTATAGAATCGATAAATAATAGCATTTCTGTTTTTATTTCGTCTATGATTATAAATAATTTGTTAATTTAAATAAAACTATATGAAGTCAATTTAATTACGAATATTAAAGCAACAAAAATAAAAGAGTATGTGGTTCTGTAGTCAGCGTTCTGGCCTTACACGTAGAAGACTGGAGTTCGATTCTCGGATGGAAAAAAATAAAATGAACTTTTTCTTTTTTTTTCGTTTATTCAGTCATAATTTATTTTAAAATTAGTTATTTTGTCTTAATAACCTCAAATATTTTTTTTAATTTGTAAATTTTCGTTAGTGGGTCGTAGAAAAAATATACTGTTCAACTCGAGTGGATTGTCCACATCGCACTCAGACGATTGAGAACTCCGCCTACGGCGTCGTGCTAAAATTTCGTATTCGTGCGATATGGCCATCATATCCACTCTTGTTGCACAAACTACTATTTTTTACAAATATTAAACTGGGTTTACCTAAAAATTGGCGCTAAAATAATGCATGTAAAAATCGACTCTTGCAACTAAACATCATCTCAAATTAATCGACAGTATCTGAAAGTATCAGCAGCTATGTCCAGTGTGACAACTTATATTCCAAGAACTGAATAAATAGTCAAGGGTAATATACCAAGACCTTGATAATAGTCAGCTTTTTTTTGTTGCGTTTAAATCTTGAGAATATTTTAATATTAATTTGATGAGACATAATTATAGCATTAATAATCTGATTAGAGCCTGAGAGCTTTAGCTTCGAATTAAATTGTAAATTATTCGATAAATTTAACGACAAAAATAACAGAATAATAATCAAGGTCGTATGATATTTGTGATGATTTACTAGAACAAATATAGACTGTTTCTCTAGATAAATAGTCGCTGATGGTTGTTGTTGGCTCTAAAATACGGTTGGCATCTCAGAAACTATGCGCCGCAGAATTCAGGAGAAAATGTCAACGTAAAATTGGTTAAGATAAATCGTTGGAAATTATTTTCAAGTTTCTAAGTTCATTGTTAGATTGCGAAATATGTTACGATGAGTAATGGACTGTATTTTATAGTTAAAGTTGAAGGTGGTAGCCATGTGTGAGTTATATGTTCAAAAAAGAGGTAAATAAAACAAGGGTGGTCCTTAAGATCTCACAGATCACAAGAGATCTGTGAGATCTTAAGGACCACCCTTGTTTTATTTACCTCTTTTTTGTATTTTATAGGTTTATGTTATAAATTTTTAATTCTTCTGTGGAATCATCCCACCAAAATTTTTTTTGATATTCTTGGTGTTTTCCATTCACTAACACCTGTCGATACATTTTTGAAATATCAGCAGTCATTACATAATTGTGTATACGAAATCTGCTTAAAATCGAAAAAAACATCTTGTTGCAGTGTAGGCCCTACATGTAACACGTCATTTAACGATACCCCTGAACTTGTTTTGTCAGAAGCATAAAAAACCACATGACATTTTGTCGTTAAGCTCTCTTATTTTATAACAGGGTGATGAGGCAAAAAATAACCCTGTAAGTGTTATTATTTAAGTCAACATTTCCTATCAAAGTCATGTGACCTAAATCTTCAAACTCATGTATAATCTCAGAATAATCTTTTTTTAAATCTTTATTTTTAATTAACCGTTTTTCTAACAAATTAAATCTATTTGCTGCAATAAAAATGATTCGCCTAATTCTTTTATTGTTTCTTTAAAAGGTAGGTTAACGACAAATCTCCCAGATTAATTTCTGAAAGTATTTTCTCTAAAATTATCCTCACAAAAAGTTTTTTTATTTTCAATTTCTTCTACCGTCCAGAATTTAGTTAATTTTTCATCTGTTGATTGTAATGTCATAAAACATGCTGACCTTTTCTCTTTTTTAATTGGAATACAAATATCTCCCGCTACTAACTAACCAACCAACCAACCAACCAACCAACCAACCAACCAACCAACCAACCAACCAAGTAAAGTATTTTGTAAAAATGGCGCGTTTGGCCCAAGCTTTCTCTGCCCATTAGCAACAACTTTCCAAAATATGTTTAAACCAAGTAAAATATCATTTTCTCTGGATCCGCCAAAACAAGTCCATCTGGTATATTTATATTTTTATCAAAAGAATAGTTCGGCAAGTCTCCCGAAATTTTATTTAAAATTAAACATTTTATTTTTGAATTAAAATCGCTTCTTTTTGATCTAACTTCAAGATCTACTTGCTCCGAAATAAATTTTGAGCACTCTCCAATGCCTACAACAGTGTGTTTTAAATTTATTTTCGGCACATTTAAGGTATTGCGCGTAATAAAATTACTTTGTGAACCCGAATCTAATAAAGCCCTAACCGTTATCCATGATTGTCAAAAATTTTAATTTCTATTAAGGCAGTAGGTAAAAGTGTTGCGCTCCCTGTATTCGCTGAACAAGGAATATTTTCTGTCTCCCTAGAACCAGATTCATTTTTATGTAAAATCTTATTATGTGCTTTGTGGCATTTTAAGCATTTAGACAATTTACATTTCCAGGATGGATGCGACGGTCTTAGATAATTTATACACAATTTCAAGATTTTACCTTGTCAATTCTTTGATCAATTGTTAAATTCAAAAAACAAAAAAAGGTTGGCATTTAAATACAGAATGATCTCGAGAATGATCACTGTGGCAAATATAACTGCTATAATTTTTAGCTTGAGAGGTAGAAGCGAAATATTGAGATTTTTTATTCTCAAATCTTTTATTATCAGACACATTATTTTTATCAGATAAAATTTTAAATTTGTCAATTTTTTCCAATACGGAACAACGGTTTTTTAAATACTCCTCCATACCTGTTAATGTGGGAAGTGCTCCCTTTATTTTATGGGCTTCTCAACCAGTCAAAGTTGCATTATCGAATTTCCTGCACACAATAAAAATTACTATTCTATCCCAGCTACTAGTGTGTTTTCCCTTAAACTGTTTAGAGCTCTAATATGTTCATTTATAGTCATATAAATTACGTAAATCTGTATGAGAAACCTTAGTAAGACTTGGAATATCAAAATAGCTTAAATATGATTATAAATTAGCAATAATTTATTTTCATATCTTTCACTTAAAATTTGCCAAAGCTATTGAATAATTGTCAGCAGTAACCTCTCATTTATTGATTAATTTTTTAACTGGTTCAGATAAACTACTTTTCAAGTAATACAATTTTTGAATTTGTGGTAGAAATTCATTATCGATAATAGCTTTAAATAATTCTTTAACCTCCTCTCACTGGGGATATTCGCCAGAAAAGGTAGTCAGTTTTATTTCAGACAATTTAACATTACGATTTGGTGTACTAGAATTGGAATTGGCTGTTGAAAAAACTGATTTAGTATCAGAAATAAACATTTCAATCAACGCTTTCATTTTTGCTACTACACTATAATAATTTGATTCAAAAGTTTGTCTTTCTTGATCATCTGCTTCATCTATTTCTAATCTAAACTGAATGTTATCAAATCTTTCTAAAAAAGATTGCAAATCTTCCAACCTACTTTCTATTTGTTTTATAATTAATGTCTTTATCAGTAGATTCTACAAAAGTTTTATTCCTAGTCAGTTTTGATTTTAAAACGGCTCTTTCACGTTTTATTACATCCATTTTATAAGGATGAGAGAATACTATAATTGAAAAACAAACGATACATTATATATTATTAAATACCTTAATAAATGGTACGAGGATCCCAATTATCTTCTTCGCTAAGTATGCTTCTGATTCTTGAGATTGCAGTCAAACCCCTTCAACAAGACATCTGACCAGCTCGTCCTATTTTTTCAGTTTAAGATCCTGGTCGAAAGGACCAATGTTACGATGAGTAATGGACTGTATTTTATAGGTTTATTGTTTTAAATATAATATTTTATAAAAATTTATTAATTTTACAAATGTACAAAAATTTAGGTATTTTTTAGCAAGTTGCATGCAGAGCTGGGACGAATCCTCAAAAAATTGATTCGAATCACGAATCCGAATCACGAGATGTGATTCGAATCACGGATCCTTGTCTGAATCATTTTTGCAATAAAAAAGGATTCGAATCAAGTGATTCGAATCCATTTTTTCAGATCACGAATACGAATCACTGTCAGCGTCATACCATGGTATTATGCATGATTTCGAATCTAATATCAGTATCAACTATGTGTCTATTACGGACTATCCCTTGCATACAAATGGTTGATACAAGATGTTGAAAATAATAAACTTATTTTTTTTTCTTCTATAAATATGAACCATAAATAAATTAGAATCTACAAAAAATATATTTTATTTTAATCCAAAAAACAAAATAAACAAACAATGAAATAAAAATGTCTTTTGGTTGGCCTTACATAGCACCAAAATTTCGAGGTGCGTCGATTATACCTATAAACAAAAATAATCATTAGACTGCACCAGACGAAGGAAGGTAAGTGTTAAATTTTAGAATTTTTTTATGTTGGATATTCATTACTAATTTTTGATGTCAAAGAAAGCAGCACAGCACCTAGGCAATTTTGAGTTGAACTCTATGCCATATTTTTAGGCTATTTTAAAGCTATTTTTAAGCTACTGGTTTTTTTTTTTGGGCAAAAATCAAGGTGCTTTCCTAGCTTCGAACGAGGTCAGCAAAGCACCTCTGTTTCAACAAAGCACCCTGTATTTTTAAAAAAAAACACTATTTTTTTCGAAAAGTTTTATAATATTTTAAGAGCCTAAAAATAGCTAAAACATGTGACATAAGTAGATGTTTCCAGAAAAAAAAAATAAACTGCTAACTTTGTTCCAGCAAAGCACCCTGTATTATTTAAAAATAGCAATTTTTAGTAAAGTTTTAAAATATATCAAGAGCCTAAAAAAAGTCTTAAAAGGCGGTGTGGTTGTTTTTAGAAAAAAAAAAAGCTTTAAAAAACCGAGGTGCTCTGCTGACTTTGTTCCAACAAAGCACCCTGTATTATTTATAAATACCAATTTTTTAGTAGTTTTATAATATTTTTGAATAGGGTATAAATATAGCCTTAAAATAGCCTAAAAATATGGATAGGTTTAAACTCAAAATTGTCTATGTGCTCTGCTGCCTTATTGGAATTAATTTGTAGATTCTTACGTTTATCTTCTAAATATTAACAATCGGTCTTCAGTCTGTCTGTTTCAGTTTACACTTCGCGACAAGTCAACGCGTGAGTAGACTGTTCGCGCCAGCGTAGTTTGGTCTCTAAAAGGATCTGAGACTAATATTGGTGATTCGAACACTAATCCTTAAGAATTTCTTTCCCGAATCCGGATCTTTTTTTCTTAAGTATTCGAATACCGCTCGCGGATCTTCAAAAAGGATTCGAATCCTCCCCAGCTCTGGTTGCATGTCAAGTTGATATTAAATTTTTTTTTGGTCATATACAGGGTGTCTGTAAAAGGTCTTTACAAAAACATACCACATATTCCTTAGACCAAAATAAGTCGATTTAAGTAAAATTATCTTTGTACAAAGTTGCTTCGTTTGGGCTCCAGAGGGCCTTGAAGTTACAATTTTTAAATCGTTTTTCCCATATAAATTTAAAACGGCATATGCGATTTTGCTGAAATTTGGTATATTGGTAGAGTTTTATGTGGCAAAAAAATGGTATTAAAATTTTGTCCGATAATAATACATAGGCGTAGAACTTGATTTTTTAAATAATTGCACCTTTAAAAATTCTACGCCAATGGAAGAAAATGAGTTTGAGTATGAAATTTAGATTGCGCAACTCATTTACTTTAAAAAAGGCACTCTTGATAAGACTCGATTAATCTCATGGTTTTCGCTAAATTTCTGTTTTAATAATTTAGAGTGTATAGCTTTCACAAAAATATTTATTTACAACATAATCAAAATAGAGATTTTACAAAAATTGTTCAAAATGTTCACCATTTTCACGCATACAAAGATTTATACGTCGAAGAAAATTAAAATGTATCCTTTCCATAACTTCTTCATCACCTCTAAGATTGTTTATTGCATCTTGAATACGTTGCCAGAGTTGTTCCTCATTTTCTACAGGTTCCCTGTAAACTGTGTCAGATGTCCCCATAAAAAGTAATCCATCGGTGTTAGGTCTGGAAAACGTGGTGGCCAGTTTACAGGTGCGTCATTACCTCTGCCTATCCATTTGTGTGGATATTGTTCATTCAAGTGGTTTCTAACGTTTAAAGAAAAATGTGGTGGAGCTCCATCTTGCATAAACCACATATCTATCCGAAGTTGGAGAGGTAAATCTTCTAACAATTCTGGAAACGTATTTTGTAGAAAATCCTAATAATTTTCTCCAGTTAATCTTCGTGGAAGTATGACAGGACCAACAATGAAATTACCAATTATTCCAGCCCACATATTAATTTTGAATTCGTCCTAAAAGTGGTTTACCTTTATTGCATGCGGATTTTCAACGGCATAAACATGTTCATTATGGGTATTAGTTATACCTCTTCTTGTAAAACCCGCTTCATCGGTAAAGAAAACCTTCTTGACAAAGTTTGGATCTCTTTCTCTTTGCATATTAACAAATCGACAAAAACCCAAACGAATTTGAGGATCATGGACTAAAAATTCTTGTACTGGCTTCTTATGGTATGGATATAGCAATTGTTCTCTAAGCACTTTATGAACGACATCTTTACTTACTCCTAGTTCCCTTCCAATTCGTCTGGTGCTTAATTCTGGATCTTCTTCAACACGTTCTAAAATGTCGTCTTCAACTTCAGGAATCCTTACAAAACGTTCTCTTCCATTATCAACAGTGTTGGGAGCAAAGGAACCGGTCTCCCGAAGACGTCTCTCAACAGCAGCAAAAGTTGGGTGTCTAGGTACACGACGATTTGGAAACCTTTCAGAGTACACCCTGACACTCTCTCGAGCATTTCCTTCACAAAATCCTAATGTCAGTAACATATCGGTATATTCTGCATTGGTATATTGTACAGCCATATTAATAAACCACGCATTTGTTTTTTAAATTATTGAGTCAGATAGAACACTTTCAATCGTTAACAAGAGATTAGGGATTAGGTGTTAAAACTTGACAATATTTTTATTTAGATGAAACTATGGAAACCAACAATAAATGTTTTTGTATACGTATTGCAGGCAAATAATTAATATTCCTCAAAAAATCGTACATGGCAAGAATCGAGTATTTTTGTTAAAAGTCTCGATTAGAGGTGTTGAAGAAGATATGAAAAAAGTACATTTTTATATTTTTCATCGTATAAAATTTTGTCCGATAATAATACACAGGCGTAGAACTTGATTTTTTAAATAATTGCACCTTTAAAAATTCTACGCCAATGGCAGAAAAGGGGTTTGAGTATGAAATTTGGATTGGGTACTCATTTACTACAAAAAAGTACCCTTGATAACACTCGATTTACTCTCATGGTTTTGACAAAGTTTGTATTTTAATAATTATTGTTTATGTTCTAAAATTACTAAAATGCAAATTTCGTCAAAACCATGAGAGTAATCGAGTCTTATTAAGAGTACCTTTTTTAAAGTAAATGAGTTGCGCAATCTTTTAAAAGTGCAATTATTTAAAAAATCAAGTTCTACGCCTATGTATCGGACAAAATTTTAATATCATTTGTTTTGCCACATAAAACTCTACCAATATACCAAATTTCAGCAAAATCGCATATGCCGTTTTAAATTTATATGGGAAAAACGATTTAAAAATTGTAACTTCAAGGCCCTCTGGAGCCCAAACGAAGCAACTTTGTACTAAGGTAATTTTACTTAAATCGACTTATTTTGGTCTAAGGAATATGTGGTTTGTTTTTGTAAAGACCTTTTTTAATATCACGATAGCGTGACCTAGTTTTAATGTAAGAAACTATAGACTTAACAAAATACGTATTACCAATGTTAAACGAGTGACTAGTCAAAATTGCAGGATATGATTTTGATATGCTCAACATAACTTTATTTGACTCTTTTTTTTAATGAGATTTTATCTAGCTGTGAAGTTAGTAACTTGAAAGTAATCTCCAGCGATTTATAATAACGACTTTGTTAAAAAAAATACAGATCTAGAATAAATTATTGTCAGTCCTCCCTCATTTAGTTTGTACTTCCGCAGTACATATTCTGTGGACTGACTATGTTGAATTAGAATGATATTTCTTTCGTAAAAATAATACCTACATTTTAACTTACTATTTATTATTGAATATACAAATATGTAACTTAAATACCTACTAATTTTATTATAAAACTTAGGTCAATTTCACTTGCATCTATTATTAAACTTATAGTAAACTTTTTACCACTGAAGGGCGATAGCTGAGCCTTAAAATTGATCTTTACTCACAACAAAGTTGCAAAATGATGTAACTCTATAAATTATTTAAATTTATTTTTAGAACCAGAGTCCATTGAAATTTGGAGATTTGAAGATCCTGTTCTAGGTCCTAGAAAAATGCCAGTATTTAATGAACCCAAGAAATACAAAGTGAAGGTACCAACTGATGCGTTATTCAAAGTTGACCAATCTAATGTCAAACTGTTATTAGGTAAAGAAATTGTAGACGTAGGAAGCCAATTAACTTATATTGTTGCTTAACGATAAGTTTATTTTTATTTATTTGTTATATTTTAATAAAAACGGCTTTTTACCACTCATATTTAGTTATTATTTATTTTTGTTTTACATTAAAAAAACTCTGTTTTTGATACAAACGGGTTAAATTGTCGCAGTATTTTTAGACCATTTTAGCCCTGAAACACATTTGAAAATTATTTTTTGTATTGGAAACGCTTAAAAATATTTCTTTTTACCTTAAACTTAAAAATGTGTCCAGTCTCGATTTAAAAAAAAAGTTGAATTAGTTTGAATGATTGTTGTAGAAAGCGCTAAATAATAATAGACCCTTTATAGAGCAATAAATCGTATAACCTGTGAACTTTTTTAAACTATACTCTGGCTTCGCTCTGGTTTCTCGGCTACACTGTACATACGGCCTAGAGCCATTGCGGGTTGCCTCATAGACCCTGAACTTTTTTTTAAACATTCTCTAGCTTCGCTCTGGTCTCTTGGCTTAAAACAACAAAGTAAAGCAAAATTATCTAAAAATAAGTGCAACGATTTAAACTTGAGTATATTTTTTAGTTTCTATACATTTAAAAGTCACAAGTGATTGCAATATAATAATTTTTTATCATCTTTACATAAATAAACTAACAAAATAAAAAAATATATATACATATCTATACAAAAAAAGTTACAAGGCTTGATTTAAAATAGATGATATATCTCTGCGTCTACAGGTAAGAAATCCGGAAACTCTTCTATCTAGTATAATATACGGTGTGACAATTTAAAAACTTACAATGGGCTGTATATTAAAGTTTTTATATAACAACATAAAGTACCTATGGGGACACTTATCATTAAAAATAAGGTTTTATAGGCCTTTAGAGTTTTTTAACATTATTATCACAAGTAGGGTATGTTTGTTTTTTAAATTTTTGGATATTAATTTGGTAATAATTGATACAGATATTATTTAAACCATTTTTTATACTTTTCAATCATGAATCACCAGTAAGGGGTTTACTATTTAAACTTTTTTAGTTAGGGAAGGTGAGGCCTAGGGGGTTGATGGGGGCGAGTTCCGTTTTATGTCATTTTAGTTCCTCCTTAGAAACAGTTTTAAGCATTTTTTGATATCATGTTTCGTTTGTGAGATATTGTAAATTTTTAAATTGTCACACTGTATAACTAGTCATTGTTGTAATTGTCCATTATTACTCAACGAACTAGTTTTAGCATCGTACAATTGCCATCTTAATAAAAATCTAGTGAACCTTTGAAACATGCCTTATACAAATATTCTATTGTACAATCGTTCACCGTTTAAGCTATTTAGCTAGTTGTGTCCAATCGTTCAGAGCTTTATAGATAGTTTCTACTATCGCACATGTGTGATTGTTTTTGTGATATACCTACCTCTACTCTTGTGATATTGGTACTTAATTTCAAGAACATTGTAATAATAAATTTATATAAATATTTTGTTTTATTCTCGATGTCTCGATTGAGATTTTACTATAACCATTGTATTTAGAGAAGATAGTAGAACAACCTTATGGACGTTTCATTGGAGGCAATTCTGTCGCGACATCTGTTAGAAATTCATCAAAGTAGCCCGAACGCTAGCGCTTCCTCGATCATTGAGTACATAATTCTATATACATAAAATTTTGTTAATTTTTAAATTCATATGTGTAGAGTGCTAAATTTAAATTACTATTGTTTATATTCTCTAAAATGATAATAAATCGTAAATAAATGTTCAACAAGCATAATTAAACTCGTATATTCCATTTTTAAAACAAATATTCTGAATCGATTATAGGCCCATCTATTAGTAAATAGAGAAATTACGTTCGTTTCGAAGACGACAAAATTATCAAAGACATGACTTGGACACCACGGAGCTTGCTGCCATCTATTGATACTGTCCTCCAAGATAATTTGCATTGGTATTGTTTTACTGGTTGATGTATTACATTTCATAATGAATAATACAGTGTGTCCCATGCATGGACCTAACTATAGTTCTAAAAATATTTATTTTAAATTAAAAAAGTTATTTTTTATAATTTCTCAACATGAATCGTATTTATTTAACAAGCAAAATAAATTATGAAGAATTACTTTTTTAGTTTAAAATAAATATTTTTACACGTATAGTTAAGTCCATCCGTGGACACACTGTATAATATTATTGTAGAACTAATTCACATTATAACATCTATAAAACATTTCAGAGCAACTTTCGGGAAAGTACCGCAAAAGTGTTAGTGTGATGTTTTCCGAACTTCACTTTGTAATCTCTATGAGATGTCCCATAAAAGTATTGCCGTTGCAGACAATCGGCGGTTGCATGGATATTAGGGTTACATTACAAATACATTGCATGCGAGCTTAAAGAGCCTAAAATTGCAGCTTATTAACGTAGATGGGATGTTTTTGTGCTAGCTGGGAAAGGTCTATATACACAGTTCACCTCATAATATAAGAATAAAAATAGTAAATTTTTAAATAAGTTCATCAATAATAAAGCTGGTTTTATAAAGTTCGTTCAGTTCGCGTTCAGTTCACGCTCAGTTCGAGTACAACATAAAGCAGAATGACACGGGGTAAGTATGTTTTGGATAAGAAATTAAAACAAAAATAACAACAAAATATAATTTATTTTGTGGAATTTGTAGTTATGTCTTGTCAACTCGAACTGAGCACCAACTGAACGTAGTTTATAAATCCAGCTTAAACGTTTGGTACCTGAAATGTCCTTTAAACCACATAATAAAACAGGTTCTGGGTTTAGTAAATAAATATTTCTAGATGTTCGTGTAGCAACCAATAGGTGAGTATTTCCAACAAATTAAGTCATACACATGATAAATATTATATTTATGACAAAAGCAGGAAAACTAAACTTAAATTAACACTAAATGAAACTCAAACCCAGACAACACACCAAATCCCAGATATATCCACAGAATATCTTTTGTGGATATCCAATATATCCACAGGATATCAGAAATATCCCGTGGATCTAATATTGATATCCAAATGTCCGTCTATATCCAGAATATAGAAGATATCCTATGGATATCCAGCAAAATATCTAATGGGTATCTTCCAGACAATACAAGAAATCCCAGACATATCCACAGAATATATTTTGTGGATATCCAGTGGATCTAATATGGATATCCAAATGTCCGTCTATATCCCAGGATATAGAAAATATTCGGATATTCAGCAAAATATTTTATGGGTATCTTTAGTAAAGGTTCATAAGTAACCAATGATTATTGAATAACGTCGAAAGAAAATAGCAGAGATAAAAAATATTTTCAACACTCAAAATATTTTCAACGCTCTGCCTTTGATTTTGCTCACTAAGGAGAAAGTCGTCCTTATTAGGACTCTTCAGCAAAAAATGGAAATTCTCGACTCCAGTCTCTAATGGAGTCTGATTGCGATACCAATTTCGATCGAACTCAATTACGGCGGGTTGAGCATGAGTAGATATTCAACGAGCGAAAGTGGTATCGCCTTTTATAATTAGTAAGCAAAATCAAAAATTACATCTAGTGGATATCCACCATGGTTTGCGTTCGCGCCTAGACTTTTATATATTTAGTGGATGTCCATGGGATATTGAATACACCTTAAAAAAATTAATTTTAAATATCTGAACGGTACTATTAGCCACAATGGCGTAATTTTTTAATAATTTGCTATATAATTACTATTATTTATGGACATTTGCACGTCTATAAATTACATCTCATGGATATAAAATAGATATCCACCATGGACTGGACATTCAGTGGATATTGGGATGTCCAGTAGATATCCAAAGGATTTGGTGTGCTGTCTGGGAAAACACTATTACAATGAGAATATTATCTAAAAAAAGGTAAAAAATCACAAATACAGAATCCCGCCCAAAACAAACACAGACATGTAAATAAACCTACTTATACTTATATAACAATTGACAGGCACGCGAAAATTAATTTGAATCGCGAATATTTCCATTCATTATTAATTTCACTTGTTCATAATTCTTGACTATCCCAATAACCTTGTTCCCAGAGTTTCTGTAACAACGTATTACGTGACTATAATATAACATTTACAAAATCTGATTTATACATCGAAAATCCCTCGTATATTAATAAGGAGATATGGCATAATTCACAATACGTACAAAATACAGAATATTCCCTTTATTATCATCATCTAGTAATAAAAATAACAACCGTTGAGAACTATTAGATACCATTACAGGTTTCTGTAATTGAAAACTTTTTGTTGATTCATCAGCTCCACAGACGTCGCTAGGCGACCAAATGGCAAAAATTTTCTTTTTGTGAAGAGTATTATGAGCATAGATTACTAATGTATTATGGGATTACTTTCGAGAAATCAAAATGTTTAATATTGATATAAATTAAAAAATTTTGTACAAAAATCCTGTTCATCAGATTTCATGATAAGTCAAAAACGAAAAATGATAACTTGAAATTTTCAGGAAAAATCAAGCTCTATAATAAAGGGACGAAGCCTATTGATTCTGAAAAAAATCTGATTCAAAACAGAGAATTAAAATTAAAAAAAAAAAACAAATCAAAAACAAAAAGCGATAGGTATCAACTCTGTAAGGGAATAAAGCTTACTATTCTCAAGAAAATCTGATTAAAAATGTGTGTGTATGTAGTATTTCTGTTTGGTATTGGTTTCAAAACCAACTGGCCAGTCAATCTTTAATTAATTTTAATATAGTTTATTTTGTATTTATTTTATTTAAATAATACAAATTTCTCTAAATACAATAATAAAGAGTAGGTAAGTCCTAAAATAGGTTTTTTCTTACTCATGTTTTTTGCTTGTTTTTGATTTTTCGCTTTTGTTTTGCTGGTTTTTGTTTTTATGCTTTTTTAAATTTTCTGTTTTTGTTTTGTTTTTTTTTTTGTTATATTATTTATTGTATATATTTTAATTCGTTTCGTCAGAGCTTTAAATTTAAAGAGTTTATATGATTAAAATTTTTTTTGTATACATCGATGAGATTCTTGAGCGCGGGAAGAAAGGGGGTTAAAAATAAAAAAAAAAAAAAATGAAAAGCTATGTATTAACAATAAAGTTTTAGTAAAAATCAAGCTCTATAAGGGGATGAAGCCTATTGAGTTTAAACAAAAATCTAACTGAAAATGCGGGATTGCGGAAAGTTACGGGTGGTTTAAATATTAAAAAAATTCTAAAGAAATAAAAAACCGATTCAACTCGAAATCTTCAGGAAAAATCAAGCTTTATTACGGAATGAAGCCTATTAATTCTGAAAGAATATGATTATAAATGGGGGAATGGGGTCTGTTAAACTGTGAGGAATATATTATAGAATTGCAAGCATTATACCAATAAAAACTCCCAGGCCGGATATTTTGGTAAGTAATAGAGATATTTTATTTTGTAAAAGCCAGTTCACAGCTCATAAGAGAGCTTCAGTTTTAGATATAAATTAATTTTTAATAGCTATACTTTTTGATGGGAGGATCTTTCTTATACATCGCATCTTATAAAAAATGCATTTTTAAGCAGATTTTGTTCTATAAACTACTTCGATAAATCTAGCCATTTTTGATATACATAGTGGGTCACTCAAAACAGTTTCATCCTGTTTTTCGGCATTAATCATTGAATTTTAAACAAATGCTAAAAGAGGTCAATTTTTATTGCAAATTGAACACATTTTTACAATACAGATATCCGTCATGTGTCAATTCTCTCCCTTCCACTTCTCCAACCCCTTAATTTTAAATAAGGAATGTAACATGTACGGCACATCATTGAAAAGGTAATTTTATGGGGAAAAGTAAGAAATATGACTGTTTAGTGCGATACTTTTAATTTTAGCGCCCTCTATCGGGATAATAAAAAACCTGTAACGTATTATAAAGTGTGACACTTAATTTGAAAGCTAATTTAATTACTAATTCAATGCACCACATAACAATAATATAAATATTTCCATATTGCACTTGCAACAAAATTAAATTAGCAATAATGTTTAAAACAATGACTAATATTCAAACTATTGCAAGTGCAATATGGAGGATATTTATATTTTGTGGTGCATTGAATTAGTAATTAAAATTTGTTTTCAAATAAGGTGTCACACTTTATAATACGTAGTTTTTTATCCCGATAGAGGGCGATATAATTAAAAATATCGCAATGAACAGTCATATTTCTAAATTCCCCATAAAATTACCTTTTTAATGATGAACTACACATTGTAGTGTTACACTCTATAATACGTATAATAGTTTTTTATCCCGTTGGAGAGCGATAAAATTTACGTAACGCAATGTACAGAAATATTTCTGAATCCCCCATTAAATTACCTTTTCATTGATGTGTCATACATGGTACATTACCTATTTAAATTAAGGTGTTGGAGAAGTGCAAGGGAGGGGGTTGACACATGACAGATGTCTGTATTATAAAAATGTTTTTAATTTGGCATAAAAATCGATCTGTTTTAGCATTTTCTTAAAATCCAATTATTAATGCTGAAAAACAGGATGAAACTGTTTTGAGTGACTCACTCTGTATATCAAAAATGGTTAGATTTATCGAATTAGTTCATAGAACAAAATCTGCTTAAAAATGCATTTTTTACAAGATGCGCTAGACAAGAAAGATCCTCCTATAGAAAAAAAATATTGAGCGCAGCGCCATCTACATATTGACCTATTTAAAATTAATTTATATCTAAAACTAAAGCTCTCTTAGTGCTCTGTATACTGGCTTTTACAGAATTAAAATATCTCTATTGCTTACCAAAATATCCAGCCTGGGAGTTTTTATTGGTACACCCTGTATACCTTCATTCTAGTTTTTTTAAGACAGCTAGTTAAATATTTTCACAGTATTATTATTAGAAATTGGTAGAAGTTTTTTCTATTGGTATCTACATTCTGTTATTCTCCCATAATACGAGTTATTATTAGTAATAGTTATAGTGATTAATAATAGGTAGGTGTATTAAAAATTAAATAAAAAATTACGTATTATTATCACATTTAAATACTGTTTGGTTAGGTCGGGACTGGACGAAAATTTAAAATAAGAACAATTTACAAATTAAAAAATATTTCTTTTTGTATATTGACTAGAATACATTTTATGTTTAATGACTAGATTTAAGATTTAAGACAAATAAGATCTAATACTAACTACAATATAATTTTGTGGTACGTATGGCATTATTTCTTATAAAATAAAAGTAAAAAAATTGATGTTTATTTCTCATTCCATAGTATCATAGAAATCATCTTCTGCGAACACAAAGTTCAAATATTTTTCCTAAAAAAAGAAAAAAAATAATTTATTAAATTTATGAAGTGAACTATGGTTTATCTACTAAATAATCAGTTTGGATGATGCATTTATGGCAGTTTTTTTATTTCGTTTCATTACTTCGAATCGCAAAAGTTTTTTATTGTGCTTCGAAGATACCGTTGTTTGAAACTCGGGAAGATTGAAATACTTCCCTAATCTATGATTGAGATTGTTGGGGCAGTTTATACAGTTACCTATGTATTAAATTGTTAACAAAAATAAAAAACGTAGGCAAAAGAGACGCTGACGGTGAGTGATTGAAACAATTACATCACAAGTAGAAGTGCGTGTACAGTAAATAAATAATGCTATAAAGATCGTCCAGATATGTACACGAAAGTGGTGTAACGCATTAACATTTCGTTAGGTGCATAGAGACATACAACGAGGTTATTTAAATCTCGTATTGTAACATCATCACTCAAGAAGTTCTACTTTTATATGGCTTATGGAAGATATATCTCGGTGAGATGGAGTCCATGTTCGCTTGAAGCAGTGGGAGCTTATCGAGCGTCTCCTGCCAAAAACGACGTCTTGTCTCATCAGATTCTACATCAGGTTCTATTCCAGCTGTGCGGAGTCGTGTGTTTTGTTGGATCTTTGTACATATAACATTGAAGTAGTGACAACTAAATAAGGTGGGTACAGACATGCAACATAAATTCGCATCAGGTCTTTTCCTTTGCATCTAAAAGTATAGCACTGAACTACGCCACTTCTGAAAATATCGTTCCATCCATACAATTTGTATAAATAGAACGATATTTTCAGAATTGGTGTAGCTTAGTGCTACACTTTCGATGTAAAGGAAAAGATCTATTGTAACAGTCGTGCAAGAGTTTATTGTTACGCATCGAAGGTTTTATTGAGTCAAATAAATCGTCGGGTATCTCAGAAGAATAATTATCTTTCTTTCATCAGCTTGAATCATTTATTTGCTGTAACGGCAAAATACCGACAACTGATGAGCTACGTCAATGCTACTATGTTACGATGTTACGCAGTGACACACAGACTTGTTCGCGACTGTGTTACAATACAAAATTATGTTGCTAATCTGTGAATACCTTAATGGAACTCCTCGATGTTACTCAGTTAGGTACCCTGTTGCGTTGTTATCAAGATACTTTTTCGCAATGGTGTTACAATACGAAATTATATCTGTACTTATGAAGCATTTGGATTTGTTGTTGCCAACGACGAAAAACTACTAGACTAATCCATTCATTCGTAATCAAGCCCATTTTTATTGCAATCATTCAGATTTTGTTTATTATTACGCAGACGGAGCTGTCGCTCCGGCTGCCGCATTAGAAAGTAGACAGCTGCTAATTTGAGTGGGCATGCTTTGTGTGAATATTTTTATCTGAGGAGCGAGCATGCTTTTTATGAATGAATCAGTATTTACGTCTACTGCGTATTTTCCTCAAAAACACTATACAACTATAATAGTTGCAACGAGAAAACATACATTATACTGATCATTAAGAATGCAAATATACTTACCTAATGTAATTTTGAAAGCTTTTTGTTCGTTTTAGAACATCATATTTAGTCAATACCAAATTATAACCATAAACAATCCTTGTAACAATACTCTCCCATACTATCTCATAATAATTTGATAACTATGTGGATGACACCATGAATGTTTGCAATTCGATTTTTGTAAACAATATTAGTCTACTAGTTTTTAGTCGTTGGTTGTTGCAATAAAACATTGCTAAGAATACGTAGGTATGTGTTGTTGCGCTTTGTTTAATGTATTGTTGATTATAAACCTTAGGCAAATATACATCTGTAAAAAAACTTACACTTTTGCAGTACGCCTTATACAATTCGGTATTTTGTAAAATTATTTCCAGTTCCTGTATATATCTTATCGCACTGTGCAGTGTTTTCACCTTACTTATTCTCTTTCCTCTAAAAATAAAAAAATGCGTAATAACTAAAAATTATCACGTTCGTTATCCAGAAAACAGATTGTATTTTGGCAGTTCCGTTTTTCGTATCAAAAAAATATCCTACGACCTTCACCAGATTTTTGCAACATTTGTCTACATTGTCTACTGTAAACAGAGGTCAATATACTAAAAGGATTGTAACAAAATTTAAACAAAATTAGAAAATTTAACTTTTTTAACAGACTTCAAAAAAGGAGGAGGTTCTCAATTCGTCGGAATATTTTTTTATGTATGTTCAGTGATTATTCTTTACTACGTTATCCAATTTTTATGATTATTTCTTTGATAAAAAGAAGGCTTCTCAGGGGTGGTCCCATATAAATTTGGTCAAGATCTAATAATAAAGTCATTAAGAAAATCATCAAACTCTTCATTTTTTAAGTATTCTCAGCGATAATTCTTTACCACGTTGTCCGGAGTAGTTCCATATAAAATTGGTCTGAATCTGATGATCTTTGAGAGAATAAAAAAATCGAGATTTTTAAGGGCATTTGCACGATTTTGAAGTCAGTTTTTAAAATTACTTCTATAACTTGCTACATTAAAACAATACTATAGGCAGAGCTGGGCAGTATTTATATTTGTAAATATTTTTTAGCATTTAAATACTTCTGGGTGAGCGGTACTTGTATTTGCAACTGCAAATACTTTCGTAAGTATTTAGTATTTAAATACTTTTTCAGAATATTCTAAATACTTTTTAAGAATTAATTTAAATAATTTTCCGGCATTTAAATACTTTTCTAATATTTAAATACATTTCTGGTATTTAAATACTTTTCTGGTATTTAAATACATTTCAAGTATTTAAATACTTTTCCGGTATTTAAATACTTTTCCGATATTTAAAAATCTTTTTACGTCAAAAATAAAAACATATGTTTTGACAAGTTTCAACTTGTTATTAAACCAAACGTGCGAAATAGTCTGGAGTTGCGAAGTATCAGTGCGTTAGAGAAGATTCTTCATTGTGTTAGTTGTCAAGTTGTGACTGTTGTGATTTGTGTTACAAGAAAAAAGAAATAAACCAAGATAAATATTTATTATTATGATTTGTGATTTTACACATTAATTAAAATATGTTAGAGGTACAGATGGTCAGTTAAAAGTAAGTCTATACAAGAAAGGATACCTCTTATAATTCCAAATAAGTCTGCGCGGTTTAAATCACTATACAGATACACTGAACAAGAGTTTACTTAAGAATTTTGTTGTAAAAAATGACAAATTATCCTTCTGTAAGATGACTTAAGAACGAAAAATGGCAAATATAAGAAACATTATTAAAATCAGTACTTTTATCCATTAGCAAACAAATTTTATACACTGGCTGTGGCAATCTATTTAAAAATATATCTAAATCCAAACGTCATTTTTCTAAAATTATAATACAATGTTGTCAGATAAAAAACTTTAAGCTGATGGAATAAAATAGCGAAAGCAGTTATTACTTGTTTTGATTGGTCAGTTTTTGCTAGATTTGGTTTTTTAGGTTAGTTTTTGGTTGGTTTACTCCCATATTATCTCAAACAATTGGTAAAATCGTAAAATCTATTTAAAAAATGTTTAATTAATACATTATAAGCAAGAAATATATGTCGGTTAATATACAGGGTGCTAGTTTATTCAACAGACAATGCTCTATACCAGAAAGCTTTCGTTAATTAATAAATTTTGATATACGAATATGGACTCATAAAGGGCTTAGGTATAGAGATACAGGGTGTTAAAAGTTTGAAATGAAAATTGAAAATGTGCCCTAAATCGAAAATGTCTTTAAATATTTATTCAAATTTGGTGATCAATATGCTCTTTAAGAAAGTAATATTTTGACGTAAAGTAACTTTTGAAACATTTAACCAGTGGCGCGTTATCAAGGTTGTCGCTAATATAAAACCAACCAAAACGCAAGAGAGCATTAGCAGTGTTGCTGCTTGTTGCATATTGCTGCGAATAATGAGAAATGAGACTGAGTTTTATGATACGCAATACCTAGTGGCTATTTTTAAGGTAGGGCATTAGTATTTTAAGGTAGGGCATTGTCCCTATGTGCCCCCATTTAGCTGCGGCCCTGTTTCTGGTCCAAAACCAGTTATACCAGGCCCATGACACTCCCTGGGCGGGAAAAAGATGCGCAGCTTTTACTGCGCTGACGTTTTCGGGATATAACCTATCACTTATCATAAATCCGGTTAAAAACTCGCTACCATGCGCAGGCAACCCATATTTCGTACACAAATATAAACTTTTGTTTACATTTTATCGAAGTAGTTTTTGTAATACATTCACAGCTTAAAAACGGAAAATTTGTTATTTTGATAGTGAATTTAGATCAAAAATACCCCAAAAACACTTCAGTGTGTGTTTCATCCTTATTATTGCTCGTTTTATTTGAGGACATTGGAATAAATAGAGTACTAAAAGTAATCAAGCTAAAAAGGTGTGTTATAAAAAGAAAATACATTGCCTTCGACTTATTTATGTTTAATATGTTTTCGTGAAGTATTTCCAATATGCTAGTTACTTGAATGGTTGTAAATTGTACGTGTATAAGTAATAAGAACATCTAGTGCTTTGTGCTTCCTTTTTTTGTTGGTGTCCCAGCCCAGCATTCCTAGCCAGCAGTAGTAGCAAAAACATTAACATTGTCTACATTCAACCCATTTACATGTACATGATTTAACAGCAAAAAGCAGAATACAATATTTCTCTGCAAAATGTAAAACATGCTACAAGGAAAATCGCTCATGTATAAATTCAACAATTAAATCAAAATATATTATTTTTAAAGGACTTATATCAACTATTATGTTAATTATAAATATTATAAGTATTTGTAACAAAATAATAGTTGTGTATTAATAAATCTGTTGCTACTCCAAAAAATATATTATTTATTGATTATCAGGTATCAAAAATATGTGTACCTATAGAAATTTGTTGAAATGTTCTATTGCTCTTAATCTTTTTAATGGGTTCTTATTATAGTTGTAAATAAGAATCAACACTTTTTATCCGTCTATTTAACACTTACAAACGTATGCATATTTTAAGTTGTAAGGATCCATAGCCTCTTAATGTTTTACATTAGAAATAAGACCTGTGATGTCACATTAAATCGTGAATATGAGGTAAAGGATTTGGGAGTTGTCTTTCAGTCTAATTTGAAGTTCAATAACCATTTTTTAGACATAACTAAAAAAGCAATAACAGCATTAGGTTTTTAAATCAGAAATACAAAAAAATTTAGGATTACCACCAAAATCAGATTATATAATGCCTTAGTAAGACTCCATCTTGAGTATGTTTCACAAATATGGATGCCCTTGGAAGCCACACAAATTGATCATATTGAAAAAGTACAAAAAATATTTTTACGGTACCTTCATGTCATAAAAAATACTTGTACCCTTATACCTAAGATCTCGTATAAAACTATGCTCAAAAGTTTTAAGATTAAATCTCTTTTACAAAGAAGAAAGCAACAGGCTGTGATATATTTTGTACTCTATTTTAAGTACAAAGATTGTGAATTGATTGACTATATAAATGTTAATACCGCAAATATTAATCTAAGAAACTCAAGTAACAAAAAATTATTTGATTTAGATCCAAGTAGTATATCTCCTTTTAACAAGATGATGGCTGTTATCAATGAGTTTCTTAGCGAGATCCAAATAGATATCTTTAATGCCTAAGAAAGTTGAGGACTGTACTAAATTAAGTTCACTAGATATAAAGGTTTGTTTTGTTTTTGGTCTTAAATTTCTTGTTACTTAACTCTACATGTAACTACTATTAATTTTTTTATAGTATCCAATAAATAAATTATACCTATGGCTGCTTTCAAACAATTCTGTGTGTAGTCACTTAGTTTAAAGTCAATTTTACATTAGTGGTTTTACAAGAATGTCAAATAGTAATATGTATTGTGTCTATGAATTTGCTGTGTGTAGTAAATTGCCAATATACATAACTTTGATATTTTTATCACAAGTGTAAAAACTACGAAAACCATATACATATAGTTCCCATTTTAAAATAAATTCAAATTAATTCATAATAAAAAATAACGATTTTAGTCTGCCATACTTGAACTCATTCACAAAAACAAGTCACTGAGTATATATTTGTAAAAAAACTACACTAAATATGTCTCCGTTACAAATTTTTAAATTTAAAACTACATACTTTCCTATAGATTTTGCAGTACCTAAATAACGTATAGAATACATTTTTACAATATACTAGAAAAGTTTTAGATTAGAGTAATTCTTAAGAAATAAAGCAATACCTCTATTTTGTTACTCTAACCTTGTGTGTTATATATTTCCCTTGACAAACTAACGTTATATTTTGAACTAAAAGTAATTAAACTTTTCACCAAAAAGTAATATTTCACATATATAAAAAAATTTAAAACGGTTCTGTCCTTCTTGCATTTTCGAAGACTGCCCTGATACCTAATCTATTTTCTTCTTCAAAGTAATTAAGTTGTTCAACCGTTGTCTATAAAGGTATCTCACATCTCCCTCATACACACGAATTTGAAAAGCAGCAGAATAAAAATTCAACTAACCAGGTATACCAAGTCCGTGTAAAGAAAACGTTTCATATCCCGAAAACGTCAAGTGTCAACTAAAATTTCTACTTTTAAAGATCAAACGTGCCGCCTCAGAGTGCCAATACTGATTGGTATATATACTGGGGTTATACTTCCGGTCAGTTATATACAGGGTGAGCACTTAAAAAATCATTTTTTTAAAAGTCGGCAGATTTCGACTAAAATTGGTATCTATTTTAGAAGTTAAATATAACAGATCCTAAATAAGTTTATAAAAATTCAAAATGGCGTTGAAAGGAATCGTATTTAAGAGAAAAGGTTTCCCTTGACTGGAAATAATAAAAAGCTTTCTCTTGGTATGTGTAACTGGACCATTTTAAAAGCAGCCAATCATTATCGTTCAATAATGGTGAAAATGACGAAGAACACCGGGCGGATGCGAAGTGAGAGTTTGGGTGGAATCAAGAGGAACATCGATGGAGAGAGGAAGGTGAAAAATTTTGAATTGCTGGTTTTAATTTTAAATTATTAAAATGTAAGTGCTTAGGAGTTCTCTCTTTTTACAATTTCAATAGTGAGGGAAGTTCTGGGTGAAAAACTTTACTAATATTTTTATTCACTCAAGATATTTTTAATAATATAATGTAGCGTTTCTCAAACTTTTTTTGGCTACGGAACCATTTTGAAAAGCGAAATATTTGACGGAGCCCTTAAATTGATTTGGACAGGTTTTATTTTAACCCCGGGGCATTTCTAAAAAAAGGCCTCGAACCAGGTCCTCTCTTTTTTGGCGAACTACAGTATTTTTTTTTTATATAACTATGACTATTATTTTCGCGGAACCCCCACAGAGGCTTTGCGGAGCCCCAGGGCTCTGCGGAGCACACTTTGTGAAACGCTGATATAATGTATTCTATTTTTTCGTAAGATGTCTGAAATAAGATTTAATAGAACTTATGAAGTACACTGGTGGAACTAGGACTATTGAAAGAGAGGCAAGTTTAAATGCAGGTCATATATAATTATATGTGGGAAAAGCAAATTCAGTGATAAGCATAGTATGTTTATCACTGAATTCACTTAGGTAATATGTATCTACCTTTGCACTTATTCTCCAAGCATTGATGCAATAAGACAATAATAAGTATTATTTTCTTGTCCACTCGTTGTACTTATTTTAAAATAAGATACATATAGGTACCAGGTGTCACTATATATTTTTACATTTTAAGGACTTTTATTTTCCGAACCAATTAAGATATGCCGATGCGGTTTTCATTAAACTCTTATGTAGGGTCATAAGTTTTATTAGGGTATACCGGAAATGAAATTGTAACGTCCGCTTATAAAAACCAAAATGGCCCCATTTCAAAGTTCATAATTTTATTTTCTATAAATTCATATATATTAATACATTTTGATCTATATAATGGTGTGCTTAATTTTGAAATCTTTTTGAAAATGGCTACGAAATTAGAACAAATAAAAATGTTTGCCTAGTTAATTCTGATTTATTGCAAAAATTACTTTTTTAAAACGACAGAATATTAAAAAAGAAAAATAAATAATTGGTTATTTATTTTATTTATTAGCTACAAATTGTAAAATGCGTTTTCCTTCTTCATGTACACATTAATTAAATCAGACCAATAAATTTTGAAAAGCTCTTAATAACATGTCAGGTGTTATAAAATGACTACTTAACTGTAACTAAAAAATACAAACTATTCATAGCCTCCTAAATAATTCCAATAACTTAATTTTAGAACACAAGTATTAGAAATTAAAAATTTAAAAAACCGACTTCAATAACGTGCAGATGCCATCACATCTTAACCAAATTTATATGTGACCACCCTTGAGATACCCCCTTACTAACAAAAAAAGAATCATATAAATCGGACAAGGTGGTAAAGCATTATCGCTAAACATACATAAAAAATGAAGAGTTTGAGGATTTTCTCATGGACCCAATTATTGGATTTTGACCAAATTTTTATGGGACCACTCCTGAAGTACCCCCTTTCTAACAAAAAATGAATCATTGAAATCGGACACCGTGTTAAAGAATTATCGCTGAACATACAAAAAAAAAATATTGCGACGAATTGAGAACCTCCGCCTTTTTTGAAGTCTGTTAAAAATATGCCAATATTTCTTTTCGATTTAATTTCGTAGCCATTTTCGAAACTATTTTAAAACTAAGCATACCGTTATATAGAAAAAGGATGGTGTTTTTTAAAAATTATACGGGGGTGTTCAATTTAAAGAAAATTAGGTAATAAACTTTGAAATTGTTTTTTCCAATCGAAAGTTACTAGTTCATTTCCGGTATACCCCATAGAAAAAATAAAAAGAGAAGATTAGAATAAATGGCGGGACTTGTTTCCTTGTTGGTAGTTGAACCGTAAGCGCTTAGCGCGCTGCTATCACTAAATTCAAACCCGTTTTACACCCATAAAAAAATATGTTTTCAAAAATAATGACAAAGAAATCAATAATTTTACTGATTTACCTCTTTAAATTTCACTTTAATATAATGTGTGATCAAATACAGGGATAATCGTTAATAAATGTAAAGTTAAAGCACGTTAAAGCTAAATATAAATATTATGAGATGGTGTAAATCTGGCTCTGAAAATAAATTAGGTTATGTTGCCATAAATATGTCCGCCTGATATTATTTTCCAGTAAGAGTGATGTGTTATTTTCATTTTCAAATGCAGGTGATATTTTTTCAAATGTAGGTGAGTAAATTGTATTAATTTAGTGTAAGTTAGATTTAACTAATTTAACTATAGTGAGGTTCTTAAGAAATTCTGATTCATTTAAATTTTAATTGCAGAAGTAAATATTTTTCTCACAAAACTAACCAGAAATTTTATATTTTTCCTGCTATTGTTAATACTCTTAGAGATAAATGGATCCACATTTTAAACACTTGTGATCAAAAAAATGAAAGGAGTTGTGAGCGAAATGTGTGAAGCCAATTTACAAACAGATATTGTTGAACCCGAGATAGAACCTCATCATAGTTTTACTCATAAAGACCATGATGAAAAAAGGCGAATGATTTGTGCTCAAAAAGTGATTGTTCAATTTTTGGGTGATATTCATTATTATATTTATCAAATAATACCCAAATATGTGCAAAAATTAATATGATATTTAGGTCAACTTGTTAATTTTTGCAAATGTTCACCTATTAATATCACAAATCAGATGTTTCCTATTTTTATTGAAATTTTTATACCTTTTATTGCAAGAAAAATGTAAGAATTTAAAAAGTTATGATTCGTGTTAATTTTTAATTTTTAGATACCTACACTCAGCACCTTTATTTTTGTTTTGTTTTAGATTTTCCTGGGTATGGAGATTTTTGGAATGTGCATAATTGTCTTTTTTAATCAGGATGAGTTTCAAAGCCCACCTGTATTGAAGCTGGAGGCTTTATTGTACCTGAAATAGGCATTACAACTATTATTCTAGATTGAAATAGATGGGGAAAGGCCTTAAAGGGACAATAAGTATAAGAATATTAGAATGATTTGTCCTTGGATTAATTAAGGGGTATTTAAAACATTAAAACAATTGTGTTTATAAATTAACTACTTTGACTTTTTATAAAAACTATATCCGGTTTTTTGAATAACAAAACATGTGCTATGCTGGTTATCATATTATAATTTTATTTTTTATTAATTTAGTGTATGATATAGTGCTTGTTATGTTCAGAATATGCAGTTAGAAGATAATGAGACACATGTAATTACATGGTAATTCTAAATAAATTAAACTTGTTAAAAATGTGTTTTATTTTTCACCTAATTTTTTTTTTTCAGTTAAAACAAGTGATATTTTCCATTTTTCAACATTTACCTACAACAAAAATTCACTAAACTTATTGTTTCTTTAGTAGTTGTAAGTAAAAGTTGTCAAATAGGAAAATGTTACTTCAAATTGCTTCAAATATCTAAATTATCAAGCCCGCCAATTTTTAAAACGCTTTACTTAGTAGTGTTCTACTTTATCGACTGAAACTGACAGGTATAGTTCAACCGTAAGCGCTTAGCGCGCTACTGTCGAGGTCAAGCAAACTTGTTACCAACTATTTACATGGAATACGACCCCGTGGTATACCCTAATAAAACTTATTACCCTACATAGGACTTTTGTGAAAACCGCATCGGGATATCTTAATTGGTTTGAAAGATACAAGTCCTCAAAATGTGGAAAAAAATATATAGTGAGATATTGTAGATATCTTTTAGTACAGATGATAAAAATGTAATTGATTGGTTTTATATTAAATAAATTATTTCAAACTATATTAGGGGTGCCAACAAGGAAATTTCTTGCTATTAAGAAATATTAATTTATTACAATGCCAAATTGGCTTTGTCAAAAAACTGAATTTGACAAATGTACACTGGAAATAGTTTTAAAGTCAAACACTTAGTATTACTAGAAAGAGGTCTAACTTCTTTATGAACCATTTGTGGATTAAAGTAATTTAGGTTAAATAGACATTCAATCAAAACAAAAATCTAGGGTTTCCGTTTGGCAGGCGAGTTCTGGGATACCCTGTATAAATATATTTCGAATAGAACTGCCGCGAAAATAAAGAAAATAAGATTCTTTTTAGTGTTGTGTCCACTCGATAGTTTTTAAACCCAAAAAGTAATCTGACCCTTAGCATGCTTTCATCACCATTACTAACATTTAAAATTCAAAAATCGTATCGAATTACCTCGAATTTTGATAGGGAATGGCCTTTCTCAATCTCACAAAAGCCATGTTGACAGCTTGGACTCTTTTCCTTTCTCGAGCGTTCCGTCTAGCCACCACTTGTGGAGCCTTTTCTTTATGGGGCACGTGTTTGTAGATATTTTTTGGATTTTTTTCTCTCAGCGGCCTTTTATTGGTGTTGGTGTCCTTTGAAAAATTCAGACTCGCATCTGCCGAAATATAATCTCTAGGAGACGTCCAAGGATCTTCTTGGTTTTGTTTGGAGAGGTCTGAATACACACAAGAGTGATGGACTACGTATTGCATATTTGTTTTTTTATTGTCTTTTTCGAGTTTTGTCTGTAAAAGAATTGAATGAAATGTTCGTTTCATTTATTTCTATGACGGTTATACGGAATGTGTTTAAAAAATTTAACCGGAATACCATTTTCAAGTTTATGACGCAAGGATTTTTATTAAAATTTTTAAAAAGATATAAATTTTCATTTTTCATTGGCTATATTTGAACAAAACTTTATTATTGAGCCCAGGAACATTTCACATCGAGGTTGAGGATGTGCAAACTAGGAAAAACACATAAAGAGTCAAGTAACATATATAATAATTTTTTATCGAGCTCCAAAATAAAAAAAAAAAAAATACAAATACGAGCCCTAACAATTGTACAGGGTGTTCCAATAGTGCTTAATTGATCAATTGTACAGGGTGTTCCAATAGTGCTTAATTGATCAATATTTCAATTTGTGTTATTAACACACAAACAAGTTTTAAATAAAGAAAAATACGTATTTTAAAAATATTTCTTGATACACAGGGTGTCAGGCAAATAAAAACGTATATTTTTTAAATACCCTGTATTTTACTTCAGTTTTAGAATGGTTTGGTGATACAGTATTCAACCCTAGAATTTTTGTACAATATTATGGTGTTGCCAAGCAATTAATTTTTTTATAAAATTAGAGAGTGATGCAGACCCCAAATTAAAATATTATAATTTAGGTTGGTTCGCAATTATTTCAAAATTGTTTAAAATACAGACTTATAAGACATTAAGCTAAGGAATAGTGGTGATAGACCTGGTTTATTTTATACGAGGGGTATTGAAACACGTCCGAAATATGGTTAAATTTAAGTTTAATTTACTCAATAATATACCAACATGTTAGCCAATAACACAGATAGGTACAGGGTGTCCCATCAGTGCGTAATTGATGGATAGCTGTTTTATTATTGGAAATACGAAAAATAAAAAAAAATGTAGACGTTGTATGACCATGTTTAATAAATATTCTTAAATACACAGGGTGGTTCATAAACGAAGGGGTTGACCAAAATTATACAATTTTAAAGCAGAACACCCTGCAGGTAGTAATACATATTTCATTATTTTCACATCGTTAAACAATTTTAATATACTTCATTTATTTGCTATGTTGTATATAGGGTATGTCAAAATGCGAGATAACAATTTTCTTAATTTTTCAAATGAAATACCCTATATGTTATACCACCAATTAATTAATACAGGGTATTCTATCTAAAAAATTTAGAAAATCGTAACCTCACGTTTTGACACACCCTATATACAACTAAGAAAATAAATGAAGTTAATTAAAAGTGTTTGACGATGTGAAAACAATTAAATATGTATAACTACCTGCAGGGTGTTTTGCTTTAAAAAACTAAAGATTTGGTCAGCACCTCGCTTATGGACCACCATGTATATTTAAGAAAAATTGTTACATATGCTCATACAACATTAATATTTTTCCGTTAGTCCAATTTTTTTCTAATTTTTTCTAATTTTTTTTTATTTTTTTTTATTTTTTTTAATTTTTTCTAATTTTTTCTAATATTTTCTATTTTTTCTATATTTTTCTATTTTTTTCAAATTTTTTCTAATTTTTTCTAATTTTTTCTAATTTTTTCTAATTTTTTCTAATTTTTTCTAATTTTTTCTAATTTTTTCTAATTTTTTCTAATTTTTTCTAATTTTTTCTAATTTTTTCTAATTTTTTCTAATTTTTTCTAATTTTTTCTAATTTTTTCTAATTTTTTCTAATTTTTTCTAATTTTTTATAATTTTTTCTAATTTTTTCTAATTTTTTCTAATTTTTTCTAATTTTTTCCAATTTTGTCTAATTTTTTCTTTTTTTTTCATGTTTTCTTCTTTTGGTTCTGTTTTTTTCGTCTTTTACTATTTTCTTTTTCCTCTTTTTTCTCTCCTTTTTCCTATTCTTTCCTCTTCTTTTTCTTTTCCTACGTTTTTCTTACATTTTTCTCCTATTTTTTCTTTTTTGTACATTTTTCTTTAATATTTCGCGATTTAGGAAGATAATTTCACATCTAGGTTTTTTTGTCTCTTTCTAAAGTTCTTATTTCTGCTATTGGCTTTCCTTTTTCCATGCTCGTTTCAGACATTTAATACCATTTTTTTCTTGGGTTTCTCTTAATATTTTTTTGGTTGGTTTCCTTATTTCTACTATTCTTGTCTTAATTTTACCATGCGCCTACACTTCATACAATATAAAAACCAATGCACGTCATTGATGACGTAATAAGTTTTACACCATCACAGCTCTACACCGTTGCCAAATTTTGAAAATAATTGGGGAATCTTATGCTAAGATAATATACAGGATGTTGCATTGGAAAAAATTGAACTTAAAATTAGCCATATTTAAGACATGTTTCAAAACACTTTGTATAAAATAAACCAGTTCTATCACCACTATTCGTTAACTTAGTATCTTGTAAGTCTGTAAATTAAACATTTTTGAAATCAATGTAAACCTATCTATATTATGATAATTTAATTTGGGCTCTGCATCATTCTCTAATTTAAAAAAAAAAAAATATGGTTATGAACACTGTAATATTTTTTAAAAACATTCTAGGGTTGAATACAGTATTACCAAATCATATCCAAAAATAGTTTTTAAATATGTATTTTTCAAGCCCACATAACTTTTATTTGACACTTGTTTGCGTGTCTATAACACAGATTCCCTGTATATGTTCCGGACAATGTTCGAAATGAAAATAAAAATATTTACATTTATTTTAATTTGTTTTTTTTTAAGGAATTATTTTTTTGTTTTACATAATATTACAAAAATATAACCAAATTAAAAAATGTAACAAATTTGCGACAAATATTCGAAAGCACTTAAATCTTATAAACAAAAAAAAAATAGGAGGAAAAATCACCTTCTGCAGCAATAACATTTTTATGCGTTTTTGCAACATAATCTTGCTTTATTCGGAGCCATACAATCATAGTTTTACGTTATGTTTTCTAAACTACTTTTTGTTGTTTTTAAAGTTGAAAAACAAAACTTTCATTTCCAAAACTTTGTTCTGCTGTTGAAATCAAGTTTCTTGATCAGGGGCGGTTTCTCCATTGGTTCATTTGTACAGTGAACACCCAGTTTAATTTCATAAAAACACATTATTTTAAAATTTCCTAAATAACATAAAAATATAAATTTAATTGTAATATTTTTATTTTCATACGTGTTAATCTATATTTTTTGGTACATCATTGCTCTCTGGCTGATCGCGTTTCTGTGGCACAGTATACCGTGTCTGTAGCGCATTCTGATGAGTAAGTCTAACACGAGTGAGACGATTTGGCGAACGTATATAGCTACAAAGAGAAGAAAACACGCCAACAGATCCTTTAAACTGTCAGTCAAAGAACACATTAATTGGCGCGCCGCTCACAAACAAGGTTGCAAAACCAGTGTTGTCAGTCTAATACAATTGAAAGTATGTGTGTCAATTCAACGATTGTTCCCGAAAAACTTTTTTAAGGCAAGGTAAATACAAGTATTTTTAAAGTTGTTGTTTTGTTTAACTATAATAAAATTTTACAAATCTAATTTGTTTTATATTTTGTTTCAGTATCTAAGACTAATTCAAAATGGTCTATTTTGTATCCAACTGTAAATAGTATGAAGTAAGAAGTAAGCAAAAAGTTTTTAAAAACCCGCTTAAAGGAAAAATTCGATTATTCTGATAAGGTATTTATTCATTATGGAAATAGAAATGTACAATAAACGTTTAATAAAGATAAAGACACAAATGGTTTTTTCGGAAAAATGGATCAACCAGTTGAATTTAATATACTTACTCATGATGAGAAACTAAGAAATGGTATGTACATTAAATAGTTTATGTTATTTTTACCTGTAATTATTAATCGTGTTACCATCTAGTCTAGATTTTGTGTTGCATACAAACCTGGTAAATTAGTTTACAGATGGTAATAAAGTATGTCTCGAAAAGAGCAATAAGTATCAAATTTTGATTAGACACTTAACAAGTCACATCCCACATATCTACATGATCTGGGTCATCAATCCTATAAGTACATATTAAAACAATATACTATCTACAATTAAACAATAATTTGAAAATATAGATGAAGCCGATTTACCTATTTAGACAAAATTACTATTATTCTATTATTTATTAAAACATTATTTTTTAGTAAACTTGGACATGCAAAAGTCAGCCATGAGGGTAGGACATTAGTGAGAGCAAGAATACTTTGGAATATGCTGTGAAATACACTTAGAAAGGGTCATATGGAGAATTAAGTGTGGTAACATTTTACGATATGCATCTCACTATTTTAGTTTACAGATTTCTGTAAATGTTCAATTATGTGCTGCTATTTCAAACTTTTAATATCCTTTGATAAAATGTTTATTTTACCCTACTCATTTTATTTTCTACTCTTCCTACTCTGTGAATAATATTATAAGTTCACTTTGTCCGTCTGTCCGATATCACGTTTTTTGTCTGCACGATAAGTCGAAAACGAGAAATGATATTAGTTTGAACATTTTAAGCAAAAATCAAGCTCTATAAGGAGCCAAAGCCTACTGATTTTTAACAAATCTGATTAAAAATAGGGGGTTAAGATGGGTTGAAATTAAAAAAAAAATCCTAAATTAAAAACGAAAAGCGATAAAAATATGAAATTTTTAGTAAAAATGAAGCTTTATAAGAAGATAAAGCCTATTGATACTAAAAAAAAATATGAATATATTGGGAAGTTATGTTATGTTGATAATGGGGTGTTAATACACTGTGACCTAAAAGATCTATTGTGCCCCCTTCAGTCGCCACTGCACTAAGGAAATGTCTCAATGCCTATAGCGACCCTTCCAATCCTATTTTCTCAAGGAAGTGTAGGATTTGAAGTGGCTTCAAGTTAGGTAAGTCTCCCTCTTCTATTTGATATCCTCCTAGATATAGTGCCCTTGGATTCTGGAGTGCTACACATTCAGTTAGGATGTGAATGGAGGTTTCGTCCTCCTCCTCACAGA